CTGGGCTAGTTCTGAAAAGAATTAGTAATGACTAAGGAACCAAAGCAGAATATGGAGGAAAGCTCGTCAAATAATTCTAGAATTACGGTGACGGTAAAGCCAGAACAAATGAGAACGGAAGAAAGGATTACAAGTGGATCAACTATGATTATAAAGATTCATCAAGGAAAGACGTTTATCGTCCTTATGGTGAAACTCTGCAAAAGTCTATTTAATTGTAGAAAAAGTATATGGAAAACTTCCTCCTTTTTTTAAGTCTTCATCCAGACAATCTGATTGTTGCTTAACTCTTATTTCCTTTCTCTAATCCGAGCCTCATTATTGTCGCACTAGCGGACAATTTCCATCTAAAATTTCGCAAGGGCATATAAGCTGAACGGAAAAACAAGATAAAAAGAAAAACATAGCCTTCCAGGAAATTACAAACACCAAGAAATTCAATTCAACTTAAATGGAACAAACTACTTCGGAGCAGCATAAAAATTGATTTTATATTTCGCTCAATCAAAAAGGGAGTGACGGTTGCTAGGTGTCATCACTGCTTGAATAATGGCCTCAGAAGTAGATATTGTAAACTGGTGGACACATCGACCTGGGGTTTTAAAACTGATGCGTACAGATTGTAAAAACTGCTTTTTATGAAACGAGAATGTCAACAAATCGAATCACATTACAGAAAGGGAAAATTCTTATATCAGAATGAGAAAAGCTCTCGGACCAGGAAGTAGGCCAGAGCTCTAAGTGATAAAGAGAGGAATTAATCTCCGATGCCTAAGGCCTAATGACAGTTCCATAGGTGGATCAAAGGTCCAGAAACCTAGGCTCAAGAGGAGTTTTTTTTGGTACAAAGACCCTCATCTGCGCCCCAAGAAAGAAATTTTTCAAACACAAGTGTTTGCATTTCACCCCTATTGAAGAATAAAAAAATAATATCAATACTAATGATAAATGTGACAATGATTCAATAACACAGACGAGGAATTTATCCCCAGGAGACATTAAATGTATCGCAATTAATGTAAAGAGAAATGTCCATAAAAGTTACTAATGCTATTAATCGTGAAATTGAAATCGAAGGTCGCAATAACAAGTCTAATTTCGTTTATGAATGATACGACGTCAAAAGCGCTAATTCAATGAAAATGCAATTGAAAGCATTTCAAGCCCCATCTCTTCCGTCAACCATTTAAATTGGCTGTCGATCTTTATGGAAAAAATTTTCTCATATTTTCCATTCTCTTCCATCTCAAGCTTCTTGAATATCATACAAAACACGCACTTTACGTGTTATTGATTTCGTGTTCCCATAGCCATGGATATAATACAGCCAGTACATTTATAATGTACCACAAATTTCATCTAATTTCTCATCTTTGTCACATCGTGACAAAGATGAAACGGTTGTTGTAGTGTATAAATTTCAAGTTAAAAAATTAAAATCAAATTACATTTTTTTATAACACTGTTAATAAAGTTTTTAATTTCGAGTGAAATCAAAAAAGTTATTTTTTTCGCTCTGGGTGTTTCGAACATATTCTTCGAATCAATAATGGTAGCAATAGAAAAATGTATACTAATCGATGTATATAAATGTGGGGTAAAAACTGCAGCTTGTCTCAACTATCGAAAATGTTACATCATTTTTACGTAATGCTGGAAAGTTTATTATTATATTCCAAGAAAGAAAATTATTCTTTTTAATTGTACGAAACAATTTTTCTCATTTGTGGATAATTCTCTTCTTACTTTCAACAATATTTTCCATCCTCTTCCATCTCAAAGTTTCAAAGCTTTTGGAATCAAAAACCCAGCAGTAATGATCAAAATGTAACAATGAAACTACATCTTTAACATGCATCCCAAAAATTAATAATTGGGGTACAAAAGTTATGAATCAAAAGTTCCCAACTGAAAGTTTCAGGAAAAGTTTCCAAAGTTAAAAATTCAAAATTTATTTTTCCATAAAGAATCAAAATATTATTATTCCAGAAATAAAATGTTCCGAACTAAAAGTTTTCAATGTAAAAAAGTTAAAAGATCTGAAATTGTAAAATTTTCGAAAAAACTAAATCTACTTGAAAATTTGGAAAAGGAATGTTTAGATAAATCATGCTCTTCAACTTTTGGAATTAGCACTTTTGTTTTGGAACTTTTGTCTTCCTACCAAAATAATAATAATAAATATACAATATTTGTGATGCGACATAAAGAAAGGGACATAAGAAGCCAAAAATATTATACATCATGTTTTAAAAGTTTTAATTAAAAATAAACAAAAAGAATCAAATTTTAAAGCAAGTCAATGATGTTTAAGGAATTATTACATCTTAAATATTCAATAATCTCTTATTTTAATTTTAAAGAAACCAGAAGAAACTTTTAATCGAGGTAAATGTGTCGTAAACATAACCTATAATTTTGACTTTTTCCCTGATTCTAAAAATTATTCTGATTATTAAGACCAACTTTTCTTATAAAATTAATAAGTACAATTGAATGAAGTTGCTAATTAATGAGAACATTGTATTTTCCGGTAATTAACATTGCGAAAATCGGTCTACAAAGCTCACAATCCCCTCAGAGCTTCTAAGATACTTTATTAAGTATTTACGTCAATAGCACGCTTCTGCGTTGATGTCCTCTGACGTCAACACATCACTTCTTCACCGTAAATTAAAGTAAAGTAACTCTAATTAGCTTTGTTCATTTCTTGAATTTGTCTTCTTGTCACAAAAACCCTCCACGTGCAATTTTCTTAAAAAGAATAATTCAAAGCGCTAATTACAATTCAGTCCAAAAACTGTATTTCTTTGTCAAATATTCTTTATAATTTTTGTAAAAAGTAACTCTTTTCGAAATGGACGAATTTTTAAAAAACTGATTTAAAAATAAATCGAAGAATTCGAGTTTTATTGAAAAATGTTGTCTAGACTGGTTCTTGAAATGTTCTTCAATTACTTGGCAAAGCTCTTAGATAGCTTGCAAAATACAGAATGGTTGACATTTTTTGCCTGTACATTCATTGGCCGCCAGCATTCTCCACTCACTCTAGTAATTAAAAAAGGGGTGAAAATCTCTACTTGCAAACTTCAAAGCCTAGTTTTCGTCTATCGACCCCGAGATTGAAATTTAAATCCTAAAATAATTTGAGTGTAAAATATTTTTCACTCGAGTTTCCTTTTGTAAGATGAGACGACTGTAAAGCTAAAATAGCATTTAAAAAACTATGGAAAGAAATTTATGATTATGTGTAGAACGTGTTATGTTCCAGATTAATTTCGGACTTTGATAACTAATTCCACACGACGGGAATTTAATCAGAAAACTTCTTTCGGCCTAATTCTGAAATGTGTTCGGAATTCCACTATAGGGGAATTAATAAACACTAACTTCATATTTCGTCGAATAATAAAGGGTAACTGGCGAAAGAAAAATGACCGCAATTTGACAATTTAAAGATTTTCGTCTCTTTCAAAAAAGGGATTTAATATCTATTTGTGAAATATTGAGCGTCATAAGAAGATTATTGAAATCTTTTCTCGCATAATACAGTATTATACATATTCGGATGTTAAAATCCAATATCATAGGGAGAAGAGTGACGTAAAAAGATAAGAGCTTCTCATAACCATTGCACGATGATAGAAAGTAGACAATCAAAAGGGTGAGGGCGGATTTAGGGGTAGTTCAAGTTGGACGATGGCGTTGGCTAAACGCGAGGGGTGGGGAAAGTTATCGAAACCCTGGCAGCCGAGGGTTACTCGCTTACGACCTTGCAGTCAATGTTAGACTTTATAAGGGGAACACAATGGAAAAGTGGAAAATTCTCAACAGACTCTTTTCTTTCATCTTTTCTCTCTAAAATTTTATTTTCCAATTTACTTACCCATAAAGACAAAATTTTACTTCTCTTACTCAAAACTATTCGCATCCACATCAATAAATATTACATAAAATATTTCTTTTATTTTAATCTTTACCTATATTCGTATAAATCTGGAATAATTTGTCATTAAGAAAGAAAAGGGGAAAATTTTCCGGAACTTTATGTGTTCGTAATTTTATTGATCCGCTTAGTGGAAACTTCTGTCTGGGTTTTTTCCATCTCTTTTTTTTTGTAACTTTCACACTTTCCTTTTTCACACAGCTTCTTTCTCTCACCTTTTGATTTACGAGTGTGTGGGAACATAAAACATTCACTTCCATGTATTTCCCATTTTATTCTTTGCAACACCACAACTTGAGAATATTGAACAGTTAAATATCGTTAAGGGCAAAATTAAATGTCACGGTATTAATAGCTTTTTAAAATATTTTCACTTTATATCGAATTTTTAACGAATGTCGATAGAAAATATTCTGTACTCTTCTTTTGAATGTAGAAAATATTTAGAAACTGTATTGAACCTAAGTCAATTTAAATTAGCGGATACGATTAAAAACTTTTTGAAAAATTCTTAAAAACTGTTGAAGCTACATTTGTGAAAATTTTAAGAATGAAATGTTCCAGTTAGAATTTTGCTTTAATGATAAGTGCGTCACTAGGGGATCTCATCGAAATTTGTGGTTAGTCAATTAACTCTAAACCGGCCTTTGTAACATGAACTTGACCACAGAGTTTACACGATGGAGAAGACAGTAATGTTTGCTGACGATATTCCGGACAAACATATCGAATTGTATCTCCATTCATCTTTATTTATTAATTTGAATGTTAAACTATTTACTGGATTATTAGATATTCCCTTCGGAATCAAGTATCGCAGCAAAAGGTTCCTTCATCGAATTTTTAACATTACTAATGATGACCCTAAAAGCAACAGATATTTTAGGATACCCTATGGATGTCCTAAACATGTCCGGAAATTGGTAAATCCCTACCTACGGAAATCATAATTTTCGGACATCTTTAGGACGCCTGATGTCCAAATGCGTAAAAAATATTATTTTAAATTTCTTTAAATCAGAGTTGATAATTTGAAAAATTATTCTTTTTTCAGAAAATGCCTGTAATAAGGTTAAAAAGAGCTGGTGAGGTACTTCCCTCACAGATTCCTCTTTCAGAAATACAAATGCCAAGTCGAGTGAGTCTTAATGGCACGATTGAATCACCGGCATCAGGTAATGTAGAATATTCCATTCTATTCATAGTTCAATTAATTTTAATTGCTTCGAACATTCTAGAATTTATAAAAAGATTGATAGTATCATACTTTCTTTCTCGAGAACAAATTGTCATACATCTTCATTGTCGCGTCAATATCTGGAGACTGCTATTCAAATGACATTTATCAAATTACAAATGTCACAAACTTCACTGAAATGATTTCCTGTCACAAAGTATTGAGAAGTTTAACCATTCTAGAAAAAATTGACAATAAGTTGAAGAAAACATTTTTGAACAACATTTTTGACAAAAGCATATCAAATTCAAAATCTTAGAGAGGATATAATTCACTCTCAAGAGTGAAGAAAAAGTACAAAGACAAGACTTTAGACTAGAAACTTTAGAAGCACTAGAGAATCCAATGATCGAAATACTCTACCACTCTAGCAAAAATTAGTTTCGATAAATTGACTGCCATTAATCTGGATACCGAGGATCGAGCTGAGTTTTCGGGTCAGAGGCAGAAACCATCTGTAAAAGGAGCTACAGAAAAATGGGGTCATGGGGAGCACGAAAGCCAACAACTAAGACTGGCAAAACTCAACAAGAACTTTTGCAAATGATATTCCAAAACTTAACGAAATCTGGTGTTTCTGCAAATATCTGGTGTTTGCTGGAGTCTGACATTTCAGCTCGGGGTCGAGTCTTTGTTGATCTAGAGCGGATTAGAAGCTTATTAATATATCAGTGCGGAGAAAAAACCGGACTTCTCTGGAATAGTAGTCTTCAAGTCGATATGCAAGCTTACTTCCTTTATTTTTAAACTATCAATAATAGTTACATCATTCATGGTTTAAAAATAGTCATACAACTATTATTGATAGTTTAAAAATAAAGCAACTGATATTTTGTTCGGAGAAAGTTGAGACACATTAACGATGATTTCTCAACTAGAACTAGATTGTTCTAATTACCATCAATACAAACTTGGAAAACGAAAATTAAATAGATAAATCATCAATCCGATCTTATCTTTTATCACACATTTTTAGATCTGAAAGTTTAGGATAAATGTCAATTTTTGACGATCATTGGCAGATTAATAGCCTTTCATAAGATATCTTACTCTGCAAGAAATTACAGGACGACATCCGCCTTTGATAAAACGGAAAATTATCGGTTTATTTTATCTGCTTCTTCCCAGTAATGAATGTAATCAAACATCTTTCACCTGAGAAAATCTTTCTTGTAATGGAGTCAAATAAATGAGGGTCGAGTTCAAAGAACCGATTATGTAGTTTAACATTTTCTAGCACCAAATAAAAAAAGGATTCTGAATTTTTATTTCATTGTAAGCATTTCATTTTTATAAAGATTATACTTACTAACATGTTCCTCCAGCAACTGTGATTTAAAACTAATTTTTGGTTCTTAGGACGATTTTCAACTTAAAAAAATTATAACTGATTCTTTGAACCGGACCACATAACATCTTCGAGAAAGAAAGTATTAGTTTAAAAGTGAAACTTATACAGATCGTCTGGATAAATTTAATTTTAAACTTGCAGGCTATGCTTCAGAATAATTTTATGCAACTTTTCTAAAAAAGGAAATTAATACATTTCAGCTGCGAATCCGGTAGTAGATATAATCATCAACACTCCAAGTAGCACTAGTGTACCAACGACAACAAAAGCGACTGAGACTGCAGTGGAGAAAGTGAGCGATGTCACCAAAGAGATAGCTGAAGAAATGGGTATTCCAACCTGGGGATTAGTTGCCATAATAATCGGTGGGTATATTTTCTTTCCAACGCTTTGCTATAGTTCATAGCGGACTTAGCACAGTCCGCTGGGAACAATAAAACCAAGAAACGAAATAATAAAATTGAATTGATTAGCCGTCGGAGCCGTAATCCTAGGAATTTGCTTCTGCTGCATACGACGATGTTGTCGCAAAAGAAGATCGAAGGACGGGAAAAAGGGCTTGAAAGGAGCAGTAGATCTCAAATCAGTACAATTGTTAGGAGGCACTTACAAAGACAAGGTACGTATTCGCTACTCCGCGCTTGCATTTAGTCCTTAGACGCTCTTTTATATTCGTGGAATCCTCTTGAATATGTATAGGTTCAGCCGGACATGGAAGAACTGACGGACAATGCGGAAGAACCCGATGAAGCGGAAAGCAAACAAAGCGAAGTGAAACTCGGAAAACTGCAATACAAAGTAAGCCAATAGTTTCCTTTCTCCCTACAGGAACTCCACAGGCCAAGTTCTTCAGGTTACTACAATTTTATGAATGTTTGCAGCTCGAATACGACTTCAATTCGAACAGTTTGTCCGTGACTGTCATGCAAGCCGAAGAATTGCCAGCTTTGGACATGGGAGGCACTTCCGATCCCTACGTCAAGGTTTATCTTCTACCCGACAAGAAGAAGAAATTCGAAACTAAAGTTCATAGAAAAACGCTGAACCCGGTGTTTAATGAGACCTTCACTTTTAAGGTAAGTGAAAACTAGAAAGCAATGAGGACTTTGAATTTTAATTTCTTAATTGATTCCTTTATTCCTCAGGGGGTACCGTATGCCGACGCAATGAACAAGACGCTCGTTTTCGCAATTTTCGACTTCGATAGGTTCTCCAAGCATGACCAAATAGGAGAAGTTAAAGTACCGCTTTGTCAAATTGATCTCGCGCAGACTATTGAAGAGTGGCGGGAATTGCAGAGCGTGGAAGGAGAAGGTGGACAGGACAACAAACTCGGCGACATTTGCTTCTCCCTGCGTTACGTGCCAACTGCGGGAAAACTGACAGTGGTCATTCTCGAGGCGAAGAACCTGAAGAAGATGGACGTGGGCGGACTCTCTGATCCCTATGTGAAAATTGCTCTGATGCAGAATGGAAAGAGGCTAAAGAAGAAGAAGACGTCCATAAAGAAGTGCACACTCAATCCATACTACAACGAATCCTTCTCCTTCGAGGTTCCCTTCGAACAGATACAGGTGGGTCCCGACTCGATTCATGTTCCATTCACGGTTCATTTGTTTGATTCATTTTCTAATTGTCGTTGAATTTGCAGAAAGTAAATTTAATGGTGACGGTAGTAGACTACGATCGTATTGGCACATCAGAACCCATTGGAAAAGTCGTTCTTGGTTACAACGCGAGCGGAACGGAACTCAGACACTGGTCAGACATGTTGGCGTCACCGCGACGTCCCATCGCTCAATGGCACACGCTGAAAGATCCCGAAGATGGCGACAAGAAGGACTAAAGAGACTCCACTACGTTCCAAGGTAGCTGAACTTTATTTTTCATTTCTACTTTCAAATTAGCTAATGCTAACGGCTAATTGAGCCTACGCGAACAATAACGGCAAGTGCGCGTAGGCTCAACTAGCTCAATTCTAAATTCTAATTCACTTTACAGGTACTGGTCACAAGAGAAAAGGATTCGCTGGAAAGAAAGACAAAAGCCATACAGTAGATATTAAACGATCTATGATTACTGAAAACAACAATAACTACCACCGAAAAGATCTAGTGTTAAAAAAAATATGTTCTTATGGAGTGTAGTGTCTTGTATATACATATACTATATCTACTATACTTTTCTCTGTAGAATAATTGTTGAATGATTTCAAAAAGGGCTGGAAAAAAGCCGTTGCGACCACCTCGAAGACAGGGTCTCGCAAAAAGCATTGAGATTTTGCGGAAGTCGTTCAACTTCACTTCGTTCCCTTTCAAAAAAGAGACGCCTGCACTGTTTTCGTGCAATTTATATCATGCTAAAAGCTCGGAAAATTTACCAATTTTTATAAATTCTCACAAGACAAATTCTCATTTAGAAATCATTGTATATCGGTCATCTCTTTCGATGTTTAAACATATTCGTGATTTCTAGACAAACAAAGAACGAGCTTGTGCGACTAGTTGAAAATCTAATTTCCACTCATCACTCGCGAGTTATTTTCAAACATTTGATTTGTTTTCACCCCAACAATTATTGCTTTTTCGAATTTGCACCTACTCGCACAAGCTTGAAACGCTCAAATTTTCTCCTCGATTCGCTGTGTTTCCGACATTGAACGATTTTCTTTATGTACGTTAGATAAGCAAATGTACTCAATACAAACAAAAATTGAAACGCAAAGGAACAATGCTTTTTTTGCAATGTCTTCGTTGTATACAAACACTCATCCCTAGAAGTTACACTGTTAACGATCGATTTTCAAGATCACAGAACCCTTAAAAGTGACATTTCAGTGGTTCCCGACAGAGTCAGGAATCGTAAAACAAATGCAACATCAGTTTCTGGTTCGGATTTATATTACACAGACTGGCCTACCTATTCAGATCTCCAGAAAAAAATTCGACTTGAGTCGAATGACGATTAAAAAAATTCTATAATATATATGAAGATACAATTATAATCGAAATCTTGAGATCAATATGAATCACACGATTTATTTCACTTTCTTCTAATTTTACCTCTCTGTTAAAAATCATCATTTTGATCTCAAGATCGATGAAGGTTAGATAATAAAAGAATATCAAGTTTTTTGTCAAAATGTCCAGTTTTAAAGAGAGAATTTTGATAATTGTTTATGTTTGTACATTGTTCTGATGATTTTTATCAACTGCGCAGATCTACCGCGCACTCGTTACGTCTCATACTTTTAACATTTAATTCTAATTACAAATTTTATAAATTAGATTAGTAACTGTTTCATTTGAAAAATAAAATCGGACATATTTACGGAAAACTGAGTGTTTTAAAAAAATAGAAATTTATCGGATGTAATATTTACGGTAAGATATATAAGTGAGATAAATACGTTCTTTAGCGTATTAACAAAAAAAAAAAAAAAAATCGACAAAAAATATCGTATAATTATTTATTATTATAATTCGACTAATTTCTATATTGCGATTAAGAAATAGTGTAGATATTGTTATTGTTTAATGGTATTTATAATTATTGCGATACGTACCTAATTTATAAATTGCATGCTCATCTCTCGTGTAAATATATTCCCCTTCAAAAAAATTGAAAAATGTATTAATTTATATGCAAGAAGGGCGGATGTATAAATAAGACAAAAATACAATAATCATTATAATCGGAATTGGCAGGTTTTTTCTGTTTTTGACATTTAACGAAACTTCTCAATTGTTGCTTTTATAGGGAAATAAAACAAACTGTATCTGGCTTCCGTTGTTATAGATTCACGTCACTTTCGTGACAATTTTCTGAAAAAGTGGACTATTCAATTCCTTTGAGAATTTAATATAGAAACTGAGAGAATCTTCGGACAATTTTGATAAAATGACGCCGAACACGAATTGAGAAGTTACAATTTTACAAATACTCGTCATTTTAATAAAAAATCAAACTTTAGAATTCGTTGTGAATTCGAGATTTCTTTTTTTTCGTTCGCAGGACCAATTAACGTTATCGCGTGAGATTTATTACCAAAATAAAATCGAACGACGTATTAACCGGCAGCATTGTACTTAAAGACAAGTAATTTAGAAAAAACTGTGTCGCTTCGGAATAATCGTGACATCGAATCAGACTCACTTTTAGCCTCGCTTTGTAGACACATTGCATCAATAATAATAATAATAAATTTCATTTTTAGGTGCGTGCCATATTTGAGGGAAAGAAAAAAATTACGTAATCGTGTTGTAGAAGAAAGAATATCCATTTATACAAAGTATAGAAACATATGCTACATTTTTATCGAATTTAAGCTAAAAATCGTTTTTTTCCAGTCTTCAACTCTGCTCTATAAATATAAATATATATAAATATAAATATTATTAAAATCGTGCGCTATTCATTCGTCCATCATTATTATAAATAGGAGGGAGGATTTGTTCTTCTAACTCCGTCCATTGAGTGCAGAGCCATTGTTTTCTGAAAACAGCCAAATTTGCCCGAGAGGAAAAGTTGAGATTGAAAGATTAAAAGGCAAAATTGGATGTAGGAGAAAAAATAAAAATTGAGGGGCAATCAGTGACTCTCCATCAAAGTGAGCCCGAGAGACAAGATCCGTCCTCTCTCTCTATCATTAAGATTAATATTTTATTGTTAATATTATTATTAATGATTAATATTCGACCAATGTTGATGATTAATAATGATCGTTAATTAGGCACAAGTCAACATCTGTTGCGAGAGTAAGGGAATGAAGACCAAAAAGTCTAGATTCTAGAATTATGTAGAATTGTATTTTTGCTCAGTTCGCTTCGGATCATTTTTCCGTTCGTTTGAAGCCAAAACCCAATTCCAAAGTTTGACTGTGTACTAAGTTTGTAAAAAAAGAAAGAGAGGGGAGCGAGTGAAAGTGAGAGTGAAAAAATGAGGAAATGACGCATTAATCGAAGCGTGCTCGAGGAGTGACCTCGGCCGTCAGATGTCACTCATAAGGTATGCCGCGTCTTCTCGGCACTGGCGTTGCGACTTTTTCGCGAACCACCTTCGGCAAGATGTCGCAACGACCTTCGGTGCTCCAACGCGTTCACATTACGTGCCTAAAACGTACCTCGATGCCTCTTCTCATTGTGCTTTTTATAAAGTAAGTGGAGCAAATCTTCTAGAAAAGAAATAAGAAACAAACATTTTTTGCTGTTTCGTAATAGCTTGATTTCTGCGCATCGTTTACCAAAAGGCCTGTCTGACGCGAGAGTTGCCCACTCCTCGAGTGCACTTTCATGACATAACGACTAAATAATTAAGTATGATACGATAGTACCTAATATAATTACGTACCCCAGTCCTAATGATTCATACTAATAAGAGACTTATCAATGATCGATTAGCGACCTGCATTAAAACATAAGTGACCGATACCCCATAACGTTAATGCTATTGAATTAAAACTATAATAAACGTATATTATATGATATATTTAATGGGGGTGACCCACTTGTCATTGTACCGAGGTTAAGACGGCACTTTATTAGAGCACGGATCTTGTAAATAAGGAAGGTGTTTGTAAAGCTTTCGTTTTGAGATTTACATGATGTTGTCGTCGTTATACTGCTTTCAAAAATTGTCCACTGCTCGCTTTCGATCTACTGCCGAAAATGGCGCCTCCTTCTAGTGACAGCTGATCACGACTCGTACTTTTAAAACCATAATGCGCCTAAAATACTTGCTAATAAATCATTTTCTCTTTGTCGAAAAATATCTTCTAGACAAGACCTTTGATGTATAAGAAATAAGATCGGATGTCAGAGGATGAAAGGCTGTCAAAGAGGCTCAACTTGGGCAGCAGAAGTCGAAAGAAACACAGAGAGTCTATAGTTGGTAAAATGTAATTAAAAAAAAGATTAAAAATTGATAATCCAATATCATTCCCATAGTTGCGCGTTTCTATGTAATGAGTTTCATCGCTGTGAAATAAAAAGTGTTTGTTCCTAGAGTTGCGCCTGACGGTCGCTGAGGGAGAGAGATTTCTTTTTCCATTTTTTATTTTCCTGTTAACAAAATAATAAGTACAATCTCTCAGCGATTCTCATTTCCCAGATCCGACATCATGCACAAAGTATTCATCTTTCTAGCATGATAGATGTAGACTCGCATTGCATTATTATTTTGCTGAAGGGAATCATGTTACAAAGAGTGCAGGACACGCCCGACACAAACCTGCTGAGGACGAGGATGCGTATATCAACAAATCTTGTAATCATTCCATAACATATTGTATTGAGATTAGGGCGAATGATGTATTGTAAATCTATAGAGGTTATTACTATTATTATATCGTATAATTATTATGTAATAAATATTGTTGTTAACATAAAAACAGGAATAGTATGAAACTTTATTAGTGTTGCGTTGCAAACATTTACTACAAACATGCAATTAAAATACGTTTATTGACTATCGTTGTAGGAAACTTTATGCTCATCCTAATTGTAAATGCACCTTCCTTCTATGGACTGAGATTCAGAACCGAAAGCAGAAAATCATGATTGCAAGAAAGATGGATTTATTTAAAAACTTTTATTTCTTGAAACAAGTATCAATAACTTTTACAATTTTCGCCAGGGAGAACTAAAATTCAAAGGAGCAAAAATTTTTTATTTAACTTGAAATACTTATTTATTTTCAACAGCACATTGCACTTTTCTTTTGGAAAAAGAATTTATTTAATTCGAATAAGATTACTTGTCTTTATTAAATAAATATTTACTTGAATCAAATAATTTTTGTTTAATTGAAATAAATTGAGACTGAACGATTTTTCTATTTGATAATTAACTTAAACAGTTAAACCAAAATTTATATTAAAAATAAAATTAAAGAAAGTTACTCACGTGCGACTGGATTCTTAGTTGCTGGACCACTATTTGACGAAACTAATAAAATAAAAAAGGAAACAATATAATAAAATGATCAAATAATAATTTGTGGAGGTTATGTTTGTGAACATTGGAATTTCTTTCAATTATAACCTCTTCTTATCGTACACTTACTTGTATCCTTTTGATTAAGCGTCGACTCTTCTTGTAGAAAATATATAAAATATAATATTTACACTTAAAACAAATTATGTTGACATTTGACAGTGGAATCTAAGTAGGTACAAACTTGCAAACACACCGGTCAGACACTCAGACCGATCAGACAAAGAGTATAGAAGAGACTTGGATGCGCGCGCAACGTGTTGACGTTTATCTTTTAAAATTAACTGATACTAATTAGTACTTATTAGTTAATTAATTATTGTTAATTTAATTATTAATTACTCTTAATTTAATAATAAATTAACTAATAATTATTAATGAGTATTAATTAGTTTTAAAAGCTAAAAGTTAACACGATGCGCTCGCATCCAAGTCCAAATAATTTTATTTTTGGCAAAGTGGTCTTCGATCTAAACTAACGCGCTATAATCGATGTTGAGATCGCAGGAGCGAATTGTTAACCTCAAATTTTCTGACAAGTAAACAAAGTAAAGTACTGAACGTGACATGAAATTATTCTCCAGCAGTCACAGTAACCCAATGGGAAATTTACAACTGGCGTAGTACTGCGCCAGCACTGGCAGCACTGGCGGCAAGGCTGAGAGCCAGCACTGGCATGGCACTGGGATGATAACGCCGTCTGGCGCTGCCGAAGTACTGTCTGTCAGTGCTGCCAGACAGCGCTGGCGCAGCACTGGACCAGTGCTGGCTGAGAATATTGCCGCAATAAATGCCGTATTGCTATTAATTAGTCGTAAATTCATAATTATAAATAATTTAACAACAAAATGGTAAATAATATTAATAAATAGTTATTATTCATAAAATATTTCTCTTCTTAAAGAAATTGTATTAAAGATGGAGACTAACAATGGATATAGTAAATGAAGTAGAAAAAAATTGTTTATAACATTTAAAAATTAAATAATAAACAATTACAGTAAGTGTGCATTAGATTTTCATATTTTAGTACCTAACGATTGGAATCTAGAAATATCGCAAACCTATGAAAATAAACAAAATTGCTGACGAGGGGAATCGAACCTATGACCTACGGACTAACAGACTAACGCTCTAACCACTATGCTAACGACACATGTGTACAGTAAAGTATTAATATCTCAGTATCATTCAGACATGCAATTATTGAGTCAAAGATGAGAAAAAAATAGGGATACGTTAGAAATAATAAATTGAAATAAAATAAATTGAACTAAATTTTTAATAATTAAATTAAATTTCTTTACTTATTGCATTTAACATTTTACGTAATTCTTAGATTACGTGGTAATTTTTTAATAATTTTTTATTCATAGGAAGAAGTATAATAGTATTTTAATAGGAACCAAATTATTATTGAGATTAAAGTTTAAATTTTGTTTATAATTTTAATTTGTTTAAATAATTTATTATTTACAAAATTAGAGAATTGTGTTAAATTGTTATTATTAAATTTAATAAGAATAAAAAATGAACAACTGAAAAGTAAAATATTAATTTTTTTCAATAAATTTATATTTATAAACATTTATAAACTTTTTTTATAATTTTTTTCAAGTTTATGTCAAAAAAGCAATGTTGGCAAAGAGCGTTGTGAACAATTTTTCTATACTCAGCTAGCACTTGCCGCCGTGGCTTGTCCAAGCTTTGGCGAAACAAAAATTCTGTACTGCGCCAGCACTAATTGTCGAGGCTCGGCTAGACTACGCCGAACAATCGTCTGAGTACTAAGCCAGTGGTGAACATCGGCACTACACTGGCATTTCCCATTGGGAAGTCATAAAATTAAATTTAACATTAACCATCCGTCATTTCCCTAACAATTTCAGTATTTTGTAAATATAACTCTAACGCGAATCTATAAACATACAATTAAAACAAATTAGTCAAATGTCATAATTTCGTACTGCTAATTGTTATTGTTTATTCTATTATTGTTAATTGTTTTTGATATTGAAAATTAAATTCTTTAAGCTTCCACTTAAATAGAATTTAACTTTTACTTATAAAATACGAAATTATGAGTTTTAAAACCGTCGAATCAAGTCATAAAACCCCAAAAAAGGGAGGAAATTCCCCTAATATAGATATGCATTCGTGCAAGAAGAAACTTTCTTAGTTTACAGGAGAAAAGTGTCGAAGCAGATTGAAATTGACTTTCAGAAGGAAACTAGAAATTTTAAAGAATAAGGTATGTGCCCTTATATTCTTAAAAGATTAGAAACTAAAAAGTTTTGAAGAGTAATTCGACCTTCATTCGCAGTTCCATGCAGAAATTTTAAATTATAAGACAAAAATATTGTGAAACATATTGAAATCGTCTTTTAATAAGAAAATTTATTTGACTGTAACAAATTTTCTTTGAATGAAATTCAGGGACAGTTTCACCAAGTCCGATTTAAAGTTCATCAATGATTAAATTCAGTTTAACCGCTCATGATTGCTGTTAGTGTAGGATTTAATAATTGATTAACTTTTAATCTGTGTTGGCGGAACCGACCCTTAAAAATATATTTGATATACAGTCAAACATATTTAAGTTTAATTGAAACATATTTTTGGTTCATTTCAAGAAATAATAATATATTCAGTTCAAACACAAGTTATGGTTGATTTTAAATAATTTATGATCAATTATTAAGAAAACAAACATCAAATTTTTAAATGTCGATCTCCTATATGACGACAAAACAAATCAAATTGAGTTTTAAATTTTATAGCGGAACTTAAAAAGGATAGAGTTTTCTTCACGCAGTGAAGAAAGAACAATTCAATTGTTCAATTGTATAGAGGAAAATACAAACAGAAACGATAGCGAAATGTTTAAATTTATGTCGATGATGGGATTAATAATAATATTAATATAAGAGAAGCGAAAGTAAAAATGAACGAAATTAGAACGGAATCAAAAAGTTACGTAATAAAAAATATTTTTATTCTGAATAATGACACGAATGAATTTTTGTAAAGTATGTAATAAAGAATAGGCACATGAAATAATGTGTTAATATTAAGTTTCTAACTTTACAAGTCTACGTGTAACGCTAACAGTAAATTAAAGCTATTCTATAATTATGTTGATTAACTGCTTTAGTAGGCTTAATACTGGCGGTAGGACGATCGCTTCCGACTTGTCGGTTGCAGCCTTTTTCCGGGATGTCCTCGGGCGTACGGTTTGTGTGCGTTTGTTGACAGATAGAAGATTCCTCTTGCTCTGTAATTTAGTGAAAGGAGTTTACATTTTAAAAGAGGTTGACAATTAGCAACAATGAAATTGAGAACAAACGAAAGTAAAAAGTCATAGGAACAATATAGTTGACTTACGAATGTGGGGTATCTTCTCCCATCGGGACGAGCTCCTCGTCTTTTGGGCTGCACCATCCGATCAGGTAGGAGAAGAGGTTTCCGCATGGTGCTGCCCAGAATCCTACCTTCGTCGTGATGGATTCGATGTAGTAGGGAGTGACTTTGGTGTGGTCGCAGGACAGAGTTTCTTACGCAAAATACAATATTTAAAAAACCCTTTTTTCATCACCTTTCCAAACATTTTCGAAATTATTAAATTTTTAAGGCAAACAAATTTGATTCGCTCAAATTTTTGTATTATTCAGAATTTAGAGTTTTTTAAAAATATCTTCAGTGAATAGATTAATTTTTAAAAATATTTTAAGATTTTCAGGGTTGCCACAAAAATTTGATTTTTCCCTGAATTTTCTGACCTGTAACAACCCTGATTTTAAATATCACATTTTATTTATTATTGAAAGTATTAGATAAATTTTTGAATGAAAATTTTATAGTGTAAATATGTATTTTTTAAAGAAGAGTTGATAAAATTAAGAAAGAGATGTGTCTTACGAAGTAGAGAGGTCGTAGCGCATCCGGGCTGACTCGATCCACCGTTCACATAGAAATCCGCGTGGCCATTCGGACCCCACTGTCCCAGGATTCCTGCTCCCGTGTGGATCACATCTACAAAATGAGCATCGGTCTCGTCTAAATCCATCGACCTGTTCCCATTCATGTAGAAAAATATTGTAGGATCCAAGCCTGTAAGAGTTTATCAAGTTTTCAAAAATTTTTAACGAATTTAAATTCAAAATTTTTTTTAAATTCTTTTTTAACATTGAAATCTATGCAGAGCTCAACGAAACGAGTAAAATGAGCCGTCACAGTACATATTTCAATTAGGTCTAGTCCATATATCTCGAAGTTGAAATATTAGTCTGCTGCAGTTGCCAAATGATATTTCACGGAATCTGCAGTACTTTGGGATAATACAAATACTAGTTTATTGTCAAAACTGTTGAAATATTTTTAAATTTAATATTCAATATTTCCTCGATTAAAAATTATTGTGCAAGAATCTGCAGTTGCTATCAATTATCCTGCAGATGACACTTATTTACTTAATAAGTTAGTTAATGGTTGAGTCAATGGTATTTAGATATTAATAATAAAATTTTGCGATATTTTATCAACTCTTTGGTCTGCAGTTTCCTGCAGTTGCTTTTCCGGCGTCTGCAGACGATATTTTCGTTTAATAAAAATGGGGGATGTGGGTACTCATAGAACTCGCCTCGACGAGACCTAGCAGATTATTAACAAAACATTTAATTATTTTCAACTAAGTTATAAATTATTACCCGTGATCCTTCCCAATTTGTCATCTGGCAAATAGTTTGCTACCAGGCCAGCGATGTGAGCTCCCACGCTGTACCCAAGTATGTGAATATCCTCGACACGTATACCCCGTGGATGATCCCTCAGGTACTTTACCAACTGAGCAACACATCGTGAACAGAAATCCGGTCCCCATCGTATTTGCGAAAGGCATGGCTCCCGTACCAAAGAACCGTAATCGACAATAATAACGTTATAATTGCCTCGCGTAAAGAAAGCTGTAATGTTCGTATTTCATTAATAAATCAATTAATTACTGTTTACTTAAGATTTAATCATTGGTTTTAGAATACTTCATTAAATTATAATTATAGAGTGAGATTATCACCGTCTCTTAGATCTGTGCTTGGTGCTAGATTTCTTCCACCTCCAAATCCGTGGATAATTATTTTTGTTGAATGCTTTGGATTGAAATGAGAGCGCTGCAATGATCTGTACTTTCGAACGTCCAAAATTTCTGGATCTTTTTGAGTTTTTCTGGTGGAACAATAATTTTTATTATATTAACAAAACAAAATAAAAATTATAATTATTACTATTTATAATTATAAATATAAATAATAATTATAAAATTTTAAAAAAAAATTATAATTAAACAAAATTTTTTTACAATTATCCAAATATGCGTTTTTTTGCATGGACATAAAATACTTGATTGGAAATGTCCAAATAATCACTATCCTGATAAATTGACATTTTAGTATTTCCATACAAGTTTTTATATAGCTTTTCAATCACTATTTATGATGCAATGGTGTCAATGAAACGAGACCTGTGTGTAAACAGGACCTGCTTGATTAACCGAATGCAATAATTTTCAAAAATTAATTAATTATTAAATAAACGGTAATTTTTAGAGAAGTAAAAATAATTTATGTAAAATAACAATTTTATAAATCCGAACTGCATTGAATATTATATTGTTATCAGTGCATATTTGTATGGGATAATTTAAAAAAAAACTCTTGAAAGTGAATTTTATACGTAATTTATTCAATTTCTGACCTAGGGCACTGAAATTTAGTACATATGTGCACTATCACTTGGAAATTACAAGAAAAACATAACGAACCTGTTTGGAATTAATTTTAATAATGTTGTCAGCAAATTATTTTTTTATGAATGTATCTTAGAAAAAATGAAGTGGGTTAAAAATTTGTATCATTACCAAGAAGAAATTTAAAAGTTATAATAATTTATTGAGATTTTAATTCAAGGAATTGAATTTTGAACTAATTTTGCATGATTTAAATGATTTCTATTTGCTTGATTACTTACCTATTTAACAACTAAATATATAGCTTTTTTTAATCAAATACATTTTTTTATGTACGTGTCCTTTTTTGAATGCAAATAAAAAATATGTACACAAAAGTGAAATTAAACAATTTTTTTAATAAAAATGAATTTTAATAAGGTTTCTGAAATATTGCTTGTAAATATTTAAAAGATTGAATTATATAAAAAAATTATTTTTGAAGATAAATAAATGTCAAGAAATTTTGAGGTTTCGTATAGTATAAGGTAGGGATATTTATGCAAGTAGTTGCATATATCTACTTGTTAGATATCAGTGAAAGGAGTTGAATTGAGGACACTTTCGGTCCAAGATGAACTGATCATGATCTTGAAATCTCGCCGGGTTACTCTCAATACGTATACATATACATTTATATACATGTATATATGTATTTATTTATTTAATGATTTTTTTATTTATTTATCCATCTACAACAGCCATAAGATTTCAGTTTCGTTAATGAAATAGTGAAACTCTCATTTTCAGTTAGAAAATGCATCTCAAATAATTACTATTTATAAATTTCGCTCTTCAAGGAAGACTTTCACTCTCTTTATTCTTACAACAATTGTTTTTCCATTTCTCTTCCCTCTTTGTAATAAAAATTAAATAAAGAAAACATATTATTTAATTGAAATCAAGGGCATGTATAGTTTATACCAAGTTTTCAGTCAATTTTCGACAGTCAACTAATTAACTGACTAAACTAGTTAATACATTCTGTGCATGTAAAATTTTTCAAAAAACAATGCATTGAATTTCTTGTAAAAAATATTAATGAGAACTATTAATATTAAAGTTTTATTTTTTTATGTATATTAAAGTTCTTTGTTTGTTTTATTAAAAAAAGTTTGTATTTATAACTGGAAATTTTATAAAAAATAAATAATTGTCACAATTGACTTTAGTTACCAATTAGTAGAGAAGCACTCTTACCTGGTATATAAATAAAATTCGATTTGTGGATGAGGACACTTGTAAGGAGGTTGCGCACAAGAGGTACTGTTGAATAGATCCTTTAAAGTTTTATTTTGTTGATTTTGCGCTGTCACACCGTCTATAAAAAAATTTTTTTTTTAAATCGATTAACTCACTTAATAATAAGTTTTGTTTAAAATAGAAATAATTAATCTTCAATCTATTTTTTTGAAAACTATTTATCATTTGCGCTTGACCGACTTGATGTTATTACTTAACAATTGGAAAATTTAATTGGAGCGTAACGAGAAGTGAGAAAATAGAGGTAAAGGTTGACAGCTTTTTATATTCACTTTTTTAAGGAGTACAAAAACTCTTCATTCAACAAATTGAAATCAATTTGTTTACCTAGTGATAATCGCGGAAGTTAAGCAACATTAGATTCAGTATAACATTTTGAAGGACGCTCCTAATCAATTATTAAATAAACTGTTAGCGCCACCTTCTTTTCGATTTCTTTTTTTCAAAATTGAAATGATTTTTTAAATCTTTATCCTCTGCAGTAATTTCGAAATCGAGGACGAGCGCTGGAGCGTTCAAGAAAAGAATACTAAAGGTTAATGGCATCGATCTCTAGTTATGCAATTTTGAATATTTTTATTTTTTAACGGAAAGTTTCAAATTTAATAATCAGAAATATTTTTAATTCAGTTTTATAATTTTTAGCGGGAATTGACTTTCTAATAAAACAATATTTATTATTATATTATTAAAATAATAAATCAAAAATTGTGACTCAATTCAAAATAAGAATAAAAATGACGAAAGTTGATTTTCGAAAATTCGTAGAAAAATTCATTCCTTTCGCTTTCTTGGAGAATTACTACTTTTCCCGTTGGATAATTCGAAATATCTACTTTCGTAATTGAGACTTGTCTGGTGTTCAAGAAAGGAACTCTCTATATCAAAAAAAAGACTTATCCAGAGCTGATAGAGGCCACACACTCTTCCAAGTCACATTCGTACGTTCATAGCATCGAAAGTGATCGCGTGAATAGGCAACAAATCACCGATTTCATCAGTACGTTGAAAAGTTAACTTGAACGAAAAAAACAGGGAGGTAATTAACTCGATTTTAACGGGATTTTATTTTTTATTTTTATTTATTTTCATATGAGTTTGAAGGAAGACGCTTTTTATAAATTTAATCCTTCTTCTATTTATTTTAACTTTAATAAATGATTTTAACGAACTGAAAAATATCGTGGAATCCCAGAATGAAAGATATGAAAAATATGACATTTTTCCAGCGGCAAAATTTGAATATTGTTTTCTATATTTTTCGGTAAATTTAATTCACTTGAATTTTTTAACTAGTCAAAATTTTTAAAAATATTACGTGCTCTTTTGTGAGATTCCTAACCTGTAAAGCAGATTTAACTTAAAAATTACGGTCTAATGAATGTGGCTTAAGTTTGTATTTTTGCACAGAGTCTAAAACTTTTACATGTGTTTGAAACACTAAATTGTTAGTCATATAAATTATAAAAAATTAAACATGTTTTATTTTTCAAATTTTTAAAAAATTGTAATTTATGATAACTACTTAATTTGACTTTTATTTATTTTCAACAATTTTGAGGTTAGAATTCGCAATCTTATGTTTCATTAACGTTGATGTCGAAATGTCTGATGGTTTATTAATTGTTAAAAATAAAATATCATTCTTAATCCAGTAAAAACCTGTTCTTTTTTTTATCAAAATATTTACATATAGCTGGATAAAATCTTAAACCTTTTTTGAAATTTTTGCAAAACTTTATTAAAAAATTCATAATTTAAATTATTTATCACAATAATAATAATTGGAATATATTATGCTTTTTATTGTTGATAATTAAATGATAATTTATTTAATAGTATTACAATCTCTGAATTTGAATTAATAAAAATTGTTACTAATTTCAGTTAATGTTTTATTATTATTCTTATTATTATTATATGTGAGATGCTTACTATTGTTAAAATAAATACGTATTTGTAACACTTATAATTCTTAAAATTATTGTTGTTAAGTATTCTTAATTTAAATAGAGAAAATTAGGGGAAAAATTCAAACTTGCCGCGCGCGGGAAATTGAAAGTGACCGTTAAGTGAAGAAAGAATAGGGAAAACGAGTTACTTACGTTGCTGAAGAAAGAAGACGACGAGAACAAGAAGAAAATATCCGACGACACTGACCGCCATCTCCCGCGCTCGCGTGGTTTATGATATAACATCGGACGCGTTGCCGGATGAAAAATCAGTAAAAGTGATTCGCGATGCGTGCTTGATTACAAGGATTTAGAGTCATCGGAATACTAGGGAATTTAGAAAGTCTCGCGCTCGTGTGTTCACTTGTATCTGATCACGACTGCAGGGGGTGCACTGTGTCCATGACCGTTGACCTAATGGATTCTCTTTTTTTTAATGATGGCACGCGTCCACAATATCTTCGGGCATCAGTTCTTCCTTCGCGCGCATGTTAATGACGCAAAGGTGTATGTGCGACAGGCTGACGAGCGTGCAAGCAATGCGTTATGAGAGAGAAAGAGGAGAGAAAAAAGGGGGAATCACATCTGAGAGGGGAGACGTAAAAGTTTGTTTCCGAATTCACTTATACATCTCCTTTCCGGAAGTTGTATTCTTCCTCAGCGCTCCAGGCGCTAATATTTGTCTCAATAATGACGTTTTTCTTTTTTCCCTCTGCAAAGTAATTTTTATGGCGAAAAATGTTCGGAGTTTTTATTCGGGTATTTTTTCCGAATAAAGAAATTAAAACAAAGAAAGTGATGAAAGGATATTTTTTATTTCAGATATACAAAACCTGATTGTAGTTCCTCACCTACTTTCAAGTAAAAGTATTTATTAGCAACGGGAAGTAATTTTATATGCAAATACAGGACCTTCAATGCCAGGCACGCATAATTTGACCAAAAAAAATAAGTAACCAATTTTGAATTTTTGTCACTGATTTTTTAATAATATGTCCTAACAATAATCACACAAGGTTAATGAAATCAAAGACACGAAATTGAATAAATACGAAACATCAATATTCTTGCACATTTATGTTTCTTTTTCTGATATAAATGATTCTAAAGCTCAAGGATGTCAAGAATTCATTAAATCGAATCATCCTCGATATCTGTATTTTATGCAATATAATCCTTACACAATAAATGAAAAAAAATATTTTCATCATTAGTTGCAATGATTACGAATTCAATTAATTAATAATAAATTTAAAGAATCAGTCTTACTTTCTATTTCTTGACAATTAATTTGCACATTAAATAATTTTGGCCCTCATTAAATTGTCATCAGAAATGAATATTTAACTAATATGAGCAGGAAACGTAGAGAAAGTAAGGTGAATTATTAAATTTCTGAGAATAAAACTGAACATATATCCAAAGCATTGTATAATTGGTAATGACAGTGATACAAACTAATTATAAATCTGGCGGTATTCTAATGACAAAAATAAATTTTCTCATTGTGGAAAATTTAATAATAATCTCTTTTGGTTTGCGTCGAAACTGAGATTCAAATTGACAGTTATTGTCCTGATGTAATTTTTTTATTCAACGCATATGGTAACAAAAGAATAATCTTTATATAAGCTAACTATGTACACGCCTATACAAAAAAAAAAAATGTCTCTATACTGTATATAAATAAAAAAGTAATTCTCAATTTAAATTTAATTAATTTAAATTGAGAACTTACAATTATTGCTATTCAAGTAGTTGGAACAAGGTGCCCAATTATTTATTTAACGCATTTTTTGAGGAACCAAAAGTTTGTTTGCTAAAATTAATAGATCCGCCGAAACTCTGCATTAGCGGTAAAAGAAACTTACAATTTTAAAATCAGCCTTGATTGGTTAATCAGAAGAACGTATGAAAAGTGAAGTAAATCATCTGGATCTGTGTTTCTGAAAATTATACAACTTTTCGCATAATAATGACATACCTTCGTATTAGGCATATAAGTTGATGCATTATGAAATCCTGCCATTCACCGGAACAAGTCCTGACCCAAGTTCTAATTATAAACTTACTTATATTTCAAATTATGGTAAAATAATAACTGTTGTTGTTTATAAACATTATTTTTTTCATTAAGATTTGCAATAAGAATTTATTATAAGACAGTGTCAAAATACAAGTTTTTTGTCATTTTTTACTTACTACAAGAAAAATCGTTAATTATACTAAATTTAAAATAATAATAATATATAATATATAAGATAAATGCAGTTTCGAATTTAAAAATTTTAATAAATTAAAAAAAAATTGTTATGTATTTAATTTTTGGCTCTGTTGCATTTTCGCATTTCCGGACTGAATTGAATGAGTAAAACAAGATATGTCGTCACGGAACCTATGAACTGAAAAATTATTTTTAACATCATTTTAACGAAATGTAGTTATAGAATTTGATAAATTGTAAAATTTGAATTGCTTACTGCTCTCACAAAAGAATAATCAAGAGTGGATAAACCGCCTGCACTGAATGCCAAAGGACGTTGTGTCAATTGTAGAGCAAACTCTTCAATCTAATAAACAAATTATAAATATATTATGAATATTAATAAACGCCATAAGCACAATTTTCGTACCTCTTCAATAATCACTTTATCACTGGTTGTGTTCTTGAGTTCAAAGAGAATATTCCTTGTTCTGCGCGCCTAGATATTCATAAAGTAAATTATTCTCTAAAATTCACGGAATAAAAATATCTATAGCAAACACATTGTTTGCTATAGCACAAAAATTAAATTCTATTTTAAAATTTTTCAATAAAATAAAATTTGAATAAAACTTTATATACCTCGGAACTGACTCTAGCACAAGTGGAATTGAGTTTCAGAAATCGATAGCAATATACTCCGAACCATATTGCATTACTGATTATGATTCTAAGTGTATCGTTAAACGTCTCCTTAACAAAGAAGATCAGAGTGAATAGATTGTACAAAAGACCTGTTATTATCATAAAGTGTGATCCCATTCTCATCATTAGTTGCTTTTCATAAATTCTGTTCAGCTCCCAGGCTACTTTCGACAATTCCATATGAAGATATCTACAATTTTGGCAAAATGTATTAGAACTCATATCTTAAGCATAAATGTTGATTTTTATCATCTTACCTAACTAAAATCAACATTGTTAGTTGCTCTGAATTATTGGTAAAATTTGATTCTTTTGTAGCCATTATAATATGAACTTGATTGTGTTTTGGAAATAATTCTTTTGCTGCTTCTATTTCATTGTAAACTGGCAATTGTTTCTCTAAGAGTGAATTAATACTGGCAAATCTTCTTTCAACGCAGCTATTTATTTAATAGAAGTAGACAATATCAGAATTTGATTACAATTGAAGAATTTAACTTAATATATGAAATTCTTACGTTACAAGTGCAGTGAAGGTGAAGTCAACCACAGAATTCAGTTGAAGTGGAAAATGAAACAAGTATAAAAGATTAAGACTCGATGACATATCGTACATTGTCAAGAAAAGATTTAAATCACTGTAAATCAGACTAACAGCCATGAGAAGCCATATAAATAGTTTTTTCATCGAACTAATAAAGATTCTTCGATATTTATGCGGAATGCCCACATTTTCTAAAGCTCCGTCTAGTGATTCTAATTTTTGAAGATTAGCTTTAAATGCCTTGAAAAAAATTATAAAATTATATTTTGATTGAATTGTTAATGCTGCTGTAACCTTAGATGTTAATAATAAGAAATAAGTTTCTTTCTTCACTGGGAAATAAGATTACAAACCTTGTAGTTGATCCAGCCGAACACAATCGAAATGGTCGCGACACATGAATTGATGTAAACAATTAATATGAAAATATTTCTACCTATTTGTCTTACTTCATCATGATTTTGCATACTTCTGACATTCAAGACAACAATCCAATAGGACAAATTGAGCAGCAGAACATAAAAAAAGGTAAAAAATGGTCTCGCTTTTGATAATGGATACTCAAACATATTTAATCCTGTAATCCAGTTCAAAATTAGCACCGGCACAATTGAGTCGTGAATATTCGACGGTTCCCATTTGAATATTTTGTAAAAATATAGCGAGAATTTATTACTCGGCATTCCTTTCGAAGATTTCAATTACTCTATTCACTTTAATAAATCTTCCACTTTGGTTATTGTATTATGCTCTGGTTCTCAATTGTTGAAAATCTATTTTCTAATGACATATCAAACACAATGCAGTTGACTTTAATTTTAATAATTAAAGAAAGACTAATGACATACGAACAAACAACACTAATAAATTATCCATTTTACTTTGAATTTTTAATTAATTAATCGTTTTCTGTTCCGTATTGAATGTTTTTTTAGGTATTTCCAAAACATTACCACCTCAGTTTCTCTGATATACAAGAGTAGCAGAGTATTTATTATTTCCTTTTTCATTTCCAAAATACTGACTTGTTTTCAAACAGTACCTGGAACTAATCTGTTTTTTCTTTTTTCTTTAAGCTGTTAGGACAAACAAATGAATTTAAACATCTATTAAATAATGGTTATGGCTTCCAAAAATATTGAATTTTTTCTTTTTTGTTAGATGCCAATTTTACTAATATACAAATTTATCAAAGTTATTGAAAATTTAATTTCTTTCTCGCATTTCTATTAATACAGCTAAATAGACCAATACTTGTGCTAAGAACTGAAATAATATTAATATAATTAAGCAAAGTAAAAAGTTATTATTGATCAGAATTAATGAAATTATAAAAATACTCTTTCATACATTTTTAATAAAATCATGTCCTAAATCATTTAATCCATACATGGAAATACACAAAGGTTGTTGAGTCAATTGCAGAGTAAACTGTTCTATCTGTTTATTGAATAAAAAATATAGATCTGTGTAAATAATTTTTCTAATTTAAAAAGAAAATTCTTTTTCTTTATGAAAATTACTTTTTATTTTATTAAAATTCAAGAAAATTATAGTTCTTTTCTACATTTAAAAATTAAATATTACCTCATTTTCTAACGTCTCATTCTCATTTTCTGATTTCAAGTTGAGAACAACGTATCCAGTTTTGATGGCCTTTAATTAAAGAACATAAAAAATAATTAAATATACTGAATCGATCAAAGGATATCGCAGGATTTTACCTCGGAATAAATTTTTTCGGCAACAACGTTTATGTATAAAAATCTGCTGAAAAAAATTAGGCTCCATCCTATTAAGCCAATAATTGCTATTTTCTTGTCTGAGACGAGAAAGTTCTCTAATTCAGACATTGAATTTAAAAAATAATAAAGAACTGCAGTTAGAGATGAGAAATTTGTTATCATTTCTAGTGCAATGTGAACTTGATAAATTTCACTTATTTCTCTAGTCATCTCGCAAACTTCTAAGTGCAGATGTCTAAAAAATTGGATAATATTTTTAAAATTGTATTCTATTTTTTCTGGTAATATTAACTTTTTTACTACTTACTTCAATATCTCTATCAAGTTTTTTTTACTTAAATTATCCTTGTTTAAAACTGATGAAATTTTGTTTGTCCTCTTAATTGTATTAGGCAATTGAAGTTTAGTTAAATCAGCATCGATTTGTAGAATGTTGTTTATTTTTCTTAACTTATCATTTAAACAACTGAAATAATTAAACACAATAAATTATTTTTAGTAAATTTTACTAAAGTAATTTAGTAGTAATTTTACTAGCAAATTGCAGTAATATTAAGGCAGGCAAACATGCAATGCAAACTTTTAATAACAATAAAGATTTATAAACAAAAAATAATTCTAACCTGAGAGCTACTGCAAAAGAAATATCAACAACTGTATTCGTGTGAATTGCCCAATGAAAGCGAAAAACACAATATAAACTTCGATGTAGGGTCCAATCATCCAAATGTCCAAGTATGTCCATGGTGTACATTGTTAAAAAACCAAATGCCCATAATATCGATGCCAGTAAACTTTCTACGAAAATACTGTAATAATTTCTCTTTAGCCCAAACAATTTGAAAGTTTCATCAATTAGTGTTATTCTTTCCCATATGAGTTGTAGTTTCTTTAAAAATTAAATTCGTTAAATTAAGAAAGTCAATATGAGGCGAAAACATTTATTAGAAAACGCACTTTTCGATTCAACCATCCAATAATCAATGAAGTAATAGCCGTAAAAGTGTTTAAATATCTATTCACTGAGAAGACAAGATAGTCAAAACTATGTACATTTGTATCGCTACATGAGCCTAAAAGTTCCGTATAACTGACAAATAAATAACAAGAAGCAATTAAGAGGACAAAAATGAAACTAAATTGTCCTCGAGAATTACCAATCGGATATTGAACTGGCCCTAAACCTATTAACCAATTTACGATTAAAATTGGCATTATTGCTCGCTTTATTTTTTCGAAATACAACTTCATTTTTCTTTGATTGACTCTTTCTGTTTACACACTTCTTTTGTTCGAAATTATGCAGAATAGTGAGTATAATATTATCTTCCATCATTCGCGTCGTTGTTTACGTGATAATAATATCAAGATTAGGTTCATTAAAAATTTATAAAGTATGGTCAAGTCAATATTTAATGTGCGTGAGTTGTTATTTCAACTACATTCTTATGAAAACAATCAGATAGGATTTTAATTATTGTTTAATAAAAAAAAAATATTTCTCGATGTTACAATTTTTATTATAATTTATAAATATGACATCCTATTTGAAATATTTTTTTCTGATATAATTTAGGTCAAATTGAAAATTTACTACTACAAGTGCAAAAAAGTAATTATTTCACATACATTGGGTAGTAATAATGAGCTTGTAATTTATTCACAATTTTTATCCTTTTTTTCATTGATTTTTATTATTTAGTAATTCATACGCCTCTATTACGTTCACGTAATAAAATTTAGAATTTCCTGAAGAGGAAATCGTATTGATTTCGAAACGTTGGAATAATTTTTATATTAAAAAACCACTTGTCCGAATGACTGTATTTATAAAATCCAATGTCATCTTCATGCTTTCATGCAGATGCTACAGCAGGAATGATTTTCATAAAAATATCTATTCCTTGTAGAAAAATATCTTTATTTAAATATTCGTTACTCGCATGGGCAAGATGGGGAGTATTGTGTATTGTAACAAATCCAAGGGCTGGAATTCCAACCTAAGATCATATAAAATTAAATATCTGAACTAGACAAATTAAATTTAGCAATAAAAGAAGTATTGTTTACTCACAAGTCGTAAAAATCGAGCATCGGTAACTCCAGTCATTATGAAAGGTTCCACTTCCATGCCCAAGTGATCAGTAGCGTTCTTAAAAGCAACCCAGTAAATATTACTGTCGTCAATTTTAGTATTTTCGATAGGTGGGTCCTTATTTATAATAGTGTAGTACACCCCATCCCCAGCCTCCTTGCACCAATCGTTGATCATATTTTCAAATTCTTCATGATTCACTTGAGGTGGAAGTCGAATGTCGAAAGCAACCGACAATTCATTAGCCACCACGTTTATTTGAGTGCCTCCCTAATTTAAACATATTTTTAAGAATTCTGAACATGTAAAGAATGAATAAAAAACTATTTTTAAATTTACATACTTTCATCATAGTTAAATTAATTGAAGTCACATTTCCGGCTTTCACATTCGGATCCTGCAATTTCGCCTTTTCGGAAGCTCTGAAATCCATGAAGCGATCGATGATGAATCTCAATTTTTCAGACGCGGTGTTATTCAGAAGCGAGGAACCGTGGCCCGGATCACCTTGGCAGTTAATCCATATTTGAAACCAAGATTTTTCCCCATAACTCACGAGGAATTTGTTTTCAGTGGAAAAATCGCCTTCATCCATTGCAAAGCCAACATTCAACGATTTGAATTCCGTGGAGAAAATAAATGTCTTCATACCAGTCAGACCGCCAATCTCTTCGTCCGGCACAAACGAGAGATGAATCGTCCTTTTTAGACGAATACCTTTGAGTTTCAATCTTCGAATCGCTTCAATTTGCTGGATGCTGTGACCTTTCATGTCCTGCGAGCCACGAGCATAAATATTTCCCTTCTCGTCCATTTCCGCTCCGAAAGGTGGATATGTCCACTCCTCCTGCAATGTGGCTCTTTCATGTTCACTTACATTAAGTTCGGGGTCGCAGAGAAATAAATAAAATAAATTTTGGTATTTTTATTACTTTAAAAGTCGGAATAAAAATGAAAATCAACGTCAAAGTGAAAGTCTGAGTGAAAATAAAATTTAAATTTCTATAAGTTTTAGAAACTTACGGGAAATACTGGCACGACATCCATATGTCCATTCAATAAAATGGAGGGTTTTTCTGGTTCTGTTCCTTCCCATGTTATAATGACAATTGGTTTCTTAGGATGCAATTCCACAACTTTGACAGGCAGATCTAAAGAGTCGGCTTGTTTTTTCAGAAAATTTACACAAGGACCTGAGACGAATAAATAATTATTTAATTTTTCAAAATTAAATATAAAATGTAATATTTAACAAGACTGTATTTTATTTATATTTACCGTAATTCACATTAGGTTGTACTGACGGAATTTGAAGATACTCTTTAAGATTTTTTAAAGCCAACGCGTTCAGTTCAGATTCCGTACTCTGTGCATCATTGAAAAATTTTTTTTTTTTTCATAAAAATGTACAAATATCATAAAAATCTTTTACTTTATTTATATTTAATGTTTTATTGTCTTTCATTTAACACGTGTGATAAAAATAGATGCATTCACTGCAGTAAATATCTAGTTATTAAAGTCTATATTTATAAATTAATAATATTTATTTACTATATATTCTTTCAGTATCTATTTTTGAATAGTTAGTTAGTCTTTAAGAAAATTTCATGATATTAAATTTTATACGTTGTTTTGATACTTGACAATTAAAAATTTCAACAAACCTGAACATTTCGTATTTTAACGCAAATCACAAGAATAATGAGACACTTGATAAAGTTTATCATTGTTGGAAAAATTATTATAAAGGGGAAACATCGACTGTAGGAATCGAACTGTAACGATGAAAGTCTGACAGACTGGAATTTAATGAGATAAACAGTGTGAGATTATTTTTCACAAATTTCGTATGGTCTGTTATACTTGATAAGTATTTGAAATTAATCGTCCTAATGCTATATTCAAAAATATTTTTATTCTTGTAAAATTTTACGATAAATAATATACGAAATTTAGATTTGATTTATATCAAGAGTTGAGATTTTTAAAAAACAGTTTTATTCTATTCTTAAAAACGCAGTTGTTTTGTTTTATAAATAAATTCTTACTGTTTTATTATTTTTAATTAATCCTCAATTTCCAAAAATTACGCATCAGGAGCTGGGAGTTCAGTTTTTTTAATTAAAAATCCACTTAAAAAGTGAGTTAAGCAGGAGTAAGATGTGCTTTATTGTAATAAAAAAAACGAATGTTAATAATCAGTTTGTACAACTTTTTATTTGAACTTGTTTTTGCAATTATTTACATCAAACATTAGCGACACTTTCTACTATTTTCATCATTATATTTATACCTCTTAGAAACACTCTTTTGTTCAAGTATTCGTTGTCAGCATGTGCTCGAGGCAAGGTGTCATTCATCGGCGAAAATGACACTGCAGGAATATTGAGCTAAAAGTAATTTAATTTATTGAGAATTTATTATATTATATTTATATTCATACTTTGTGATTTGTATTAAAAATGTTTTTTTTCAAACATTCCTTTAATTAAACTCACAGCACGGAGATATCGAGCATCAATGGCACCAGGAAGAATGCGTATATCTAATTTTACAGAATTTTCATCGCACGCTTTTTTAAAAGCGTTCCAGTAAATATTATGGGAGTCCAGTTTTGTACTCTCAGTTGGCGGGTCTTTGCTAATAATAGTGTAACTAATTTCACTGCCAGCTTCCTTTAACCATCCTTCAATCATGTTAATAAATTTCGTGTGATTTACAAAAGGCGAGATTCGAATATCGAAAGCCGCAGAAAGTTCACTGGGAACTACATTTATCTGAATTCCACCCTAAAAATCAAGATTCTTGAATTATTATTTTCGTCTAGACTTTTAGGTCTTTGATAATCATCAAAGAATACTCATCAATTTAGGAGGAAATTGATTGCCTCCTAAAAGCAGATGCAGAGGAATCAAGGACCTGGGACAAACATAGTTTTAAGTAAAACATCAAAAATTAATTCACCTTGAGCATCGTCAAATTAATCGAAGTGACATTGTCCCTCTGTTTTGGATCCTGATATTTCATCTCTTCACTTTCTCTAAAGTCCAGTAAGCGATTGATAACCAATCTCAGTTTCTGCGCCGCGGTATTTGGTACAAAAACCGAACTATGGCCAGATGTGCCAGAACAGTGAATCCAAATTTGAAACACCGTTCTTTCTCCGTAGTACAAATAGAATTTTTCACTTGGATTTGCCGACCCCTCGTCCACTGCAAATCCAACATTAAGATCCCTAAATTCTTTGGATTTTACGAAGCTTTTCATGCCGAAAGTTCCTCCTGTTTCCTCATCTGGAATCATTGAAATGTGAACGGTTCGTTTTAGACGAATTCCACGTAATTTTAATCGACGAACTGCCTCTAAATGTTGAATAGTTAAAGATTTCGTGTCCTGAGTTCCTCGAGCATAGATGTTGCCTTCTTTGTCCATTTCGGCACCAAACGGAGGATAGTTCCATTTCTCCTACCAAAGACAAGTACCATGCAAAAAATGGAAGATTGTTGCAAAATTATCAGCTATCTGGGTTAATTATAAAGACTAAATTAAATACATTTTTAAATTCTAAGTGTTTTAGATACTGAAACAAAGAGTAAATGTAAATGTAGCGAAACATACAGGTACCACTGGTACGACATCCATGTGGGCATTCAGTAAAATCGAGGGTTTTTCTGGTTCAGTACCTTTCCATGATATTACAACAATAGGATTATTTGGATGTAATTCCACAATTTTTATAGGCAAATCTAGAGATTTGGCTTGTTTTTTCAGAAAAAGGACACAGTCATCTATGAAAATTAAACTGCAATTAATTTTTTGTTTACACTAAAATAGTTATTTAAACCAAATGAATGGTATTTGCATCAAGCACTAAAATCAAATGAATTTTATACTAAATGTATATAATATAAATAGTTAATAATTATACATTATTAAAATATAAATAAATAAGTAGAATATTAATAAATAATAATAATAATTTATTAATTATAATACCATAATTGACAGTGGGATGTGGAGTTGCTATTTTAAGATATTCTATTAAATTTTTCAAAGCATTTTTATCCAATTCAGAGTCACTGCACTGCGATTATGCAAAAAGAGATTATTGTTATCAACATTGATTTGATTAATTCACATGACATTTTTATTATTTGACCGCCCAGTATTTGACAATATTGTTAATTTTATTCAAATTGTAAAACATATTTTTTGTTAATTCTTTAAAAATAAAATTGACGCATTAATCATTATAATTTATATACTTATATTTCGTGCCATGTTTGTATATTAATATTAATTTTATGATCTGTTCTAATTGTTTTCTATTTAATTTATTTAATATGTAGAAAAAAATTGCAACCTCAAAACTTTGTATCCAACACACTTGAAATAAAAGTATGGAATATAAGACATTTTTCAGAAGCAATGCCATTTTTTAAATGTATTTTAAGTTTTTAACACTCGTGCATTTTATAAAGAACTGAAAAATAAAAATTCAAAAAATTGTTTTGTTATCAGAAGTACTGATAGTAGCAACAACTATCAGTTATTTTGATAGAGAACGAGAAACATTATATAAAGTTTGTTAATTTTATCGAAGGAAATATTACTAACTGGTTTTATTTTATATTTTTGTTGTCATTATGATTGTATATTAATTTGAAATAAATATGAATATTTCTAATGAAGTCTGTATTCTTTACTCCTATATTAAGTTTACAAATTATTATTAAATAATAATAATAATAATTATTATTATTATTATTATTATTATTATTATTATTAATTAATAATAATAATATAATAAAATGCAAAAGTCAAAAGTTAAAAATATCAATTACTTTCGACAATATATCGTTTTAAAGATGGGTATGTCAAGCGTAGTTAACTTCAATCGCTCGCCCTGTGAAATACACGTTTGGGAGCTAAGCCGTGTTTTCTCGTGGACAGTCACATATATTATATTATATATATATATATAATTATCTTCTTCTCTTACTCGCACTGTATTCTTAACTAAAGTTTCCCGAAGATTTGGGGAACTTTAGGGACAAAAAATTCAGTTTTAACTTTGCCATGAGAAAAAAATGTTTAAAATTCGAATTATCTGTTTAAAAATTAAAACTTCAGACACCATTCGAACTCGGCGTCGATAAACCGGTTGCATTCAGAAAAATGGTTTTCTACAGTTTCTCTCTCCTGTGTCAAGAAAACTTATTAGATGAGTGGACCAGGAAAATGCGAGTACTCCTAATTTCAAGTCGGTCTGCAGACGCAATAGTTTAAGTTAACTATATGAATAAATAATAAATGAAAAATATTAGGTAATCGTATCATAATATCCAAATTTGAAATGAATGTTCAATTATTATCAAGTTCTATATAGATGCCTTATCAGGAAAAAAGCGACACTTATCAGGAATCGTAAAAAAATAATTATCTGATCCCTTATACAATTGTTTATTATTTCTTAAAGATACTTTCAAACCCGGTAAATTTTGTCGTAATTAATATTGCAAGACTGCAACTGAAAATGTTTTCCGAAAGTAAAACAGTTTTATGGATCATCATTCATTTCCTACTCGCTACAAAAGATGTTCAGGTTCTTCATTTTTATTGTATTTATACATTTTTTCATTTTTATATTTCTAATAATCATATAATTTCTTCTTGGAAGTGATCAGAATTTTGATAAAGTTGGTGAAGAATAAAAATTTACATGTTACGTAACAGTTTTTCAAACACTGCTTCTTTTCTTAGAGTCTTGCTCTTAATCTGGATCAAGTGGCTGTGGATAATTTTCGAGAATATCTCCGAATTGAATCTGTCCATCCGAATGTCAATTACAGTAATTATATTTTTCACTGATTTTTATGTGTTCTAGAAAGTAACCAGTATTTTTTGTTCTATTTTTTAATTTATGGGAAGTAATTGCCTTTTAGTAAAATCTGTTTTTCTCTGTGGTGGTCCACTTTAGCTCCCTGTATTTCCTTTCTGAGAAAGCAGGCCCAGTCTTTGAATCTGCCGATAAAAGTAATCGAATTGGCTCCAAACAAACCCCAAGCGGTGATAACTTGGAAGGGCACAGAGCCTGAAAAGCCCTCGATATTACTCAGTGGTCACATGGATGTCGTTCCCGTTTTTCCAGTAAGTTGCTCAAATATTTCTAGTAAACTAATTACTTTTCCTCATGGTTTATTTTGTACGTTACGTCTCAGAATAGAAACTAAAAACAATTATTTATTTAATAACATTAGCATTGGTAAATTCTTGTTTCTTTTACAAAGCCGAAGTCTCCGAGCTAAGAGTACGGATACAAAAAGAAAATTAAATATTTTAACAGTTATTCTAACACAATACGTTAATTCTAAAATTCTCTGTCGTTTGGCTTCAGGACAAATGGAAACACTCGCCGTTTGGAGCCGAAATGGATGCCGAAGGCAACATTTACGCTCGAGGAGCTCAGGACATGAAGAGCGTTAGTATTCAACATATCGAAGCAATTCGTCGATTAAAACTAGGTGGAATTCGACTAAAACGAACAGTTCACTTGCACTTTGCCCCGGATGAAGAAATTGGAGGAAAATTTGGAATGGGAGTTTTTGTCAAATCCCAAGAATTCAAGAATCTAAATGTTGGATTTGCTCTAGACGAAGGAGGCATTTCCGAAAATAACAAAATTATTGTTACATATGCGGAAAAATCGCCCTATCAACTATGGATCAATTGTCCAGGAGACACGGGTCATGGTTCAACACTATTCAACAACACAGCTGGAGATAAACTGCGATCCATTATTGATCGTTTCATGGATTACAGAGCTTCGGAAAAGGCGAAGTTGATAGATCCAAGGGTGAAAGCTGGAAATGTTACGTCCATTAATTTAACAATGCTAAAGGTATTCTGTCATTTTGAATTGGTTTCATATTCAGTCAATTTTTGATTAAAAAAACGAAATTTTATGTGTTAAAATATGAAAAACTACTTAGGGAGGTCTTCAAATGAATGTTGTCCCTGGCGAACTGTCTGCAGCTTTCGATATCAGGATACCACCAGATCTTAAAATTTATCGAACTTTCGAGGAAATGATACAAAAATGGTTGGAGGATGTTGGCTGTGAAGTCGATGCTAGCACCAAGAATCATTCGGTGCCTATCAAGGGCACACGATTAGATGACAGTAATGTTTACTGGAAGCCTTTCAGAGAAGCTTGTCTTAAATCTGGAGTTGAGATCGATCTTTCTATTGCTCCTTGGGGTACCGACGCAAACTCTTTACGAGCTGTGAGTGCTTGACAAATATTTCATTTTAAGCCTATTATTTATGGTTCTGAAAACAATTAAGATTTTTCAGTTTCACTTTAAAAACATATTTTTAAATGCACATTTTGATAATTGCAGATTGGCATTCCGGCATTAGGATTTTCACCAATTAACAATACTCCTCCGCTTCTTCATTCTCACAATGAATATTTAAATAAAGATGTTTTTCTAAAAGGAATAGTTATATTCATGGACATTATAACAGCCATCGCTAACGTTTAATGAATTAAACATTCGAAATTTATAATTTTAATAAAAACTTATGCCTGAACTAAAGTGTTTAATTTTTTAATTGGTCATTACTTCTTCTTCTTCTTCTTGTTTTAATGGCAATTGGTCATTACGTGATAAATATTTTAGGCATTTTAGACCCCTTTCTCCCCTGCGTGATACTTTTTCTATAGTTTAGTATAGAAAATTTGTTAAAGCGTGATACATACTTTGCTGACCCTCCTCTCACCCCTGAATGTATCACGTAATATGTGAATGACCCCTTATTTCTATATTTCATAATTAGTTTTCTATTGAAAGCTGGAAATTGTGCTTTTAAAAATTACCATTTTATCTTAAATCTTTTTAAAATCTACTTCAAATGTTTATTATTATAATTTTATAAATATATTTTTTGATGAATCAAAAGGAAGTGTGAAAAAACATCGAAACATCGATGTTATGAATTTTCGATGTCGCATCAATCACTAAGAAACGAATGAAGAGGTGGTGTGGATAGGGTGTGAAGATGCTTGACACACTTTCAAATTTTTGGGCGAGCAGCGAATTTTCACGGTCGTGAAACTTCACGTCACTAAATATGATTGGCCCTGCAAAAAGCTGCGTGAAAATTAACTTTTGTCCGAGCCAATCATATTTAGTGAAGTGGGTTTTCACAACCGTGAAAATTCGCTGCTCGCCCAAAAATTTGGAAGTATACAAGCGTCGCGTACCGACGAAGTCGAAAACACTCATTGAGAGCTTAAAGGGGATTACATAGTTTACCTTCTTTACCTAGATTTATCTCTAAAATTTGTGGTGTCATCTGACGACAGGTAGCGGTACATAGTATATCTTCGAACAAGTTCGAACTTCTATATAGATTCCTTATGCTTTATCAGGAAAAAAGCGACGCTTATCAGGAATCGTAAAAAATTAATTATTTGATCCCGCTTATACAATTGTTTATTATTTCTTAAAGATACTTTCAAACCCGGTAAATTTTGTCGTAATTAATATTGCAAGACTGCAACTGAAAATGTTTTCCGAAAGTAAAACTTTTTTATGGTTCATCATTCATCTCCTACTCGCTACAACGGATGTTCAGGTTTTTCATTTTATTTATAAATTTTTTCTTTTTTATCTTTTTAATAATCACATAATTTCCTTTTGGAAGTGATCAGAATTTTGATAAAGTTGGTGGAGAATAAAAATTTACATGTTACGTAACAGTTTTTTTTAACCATGCGTCTATACGTCTCACTAGCCGGACGTTTTGCTGCATAACACAACTGTGTCTAAACATCCGGCTAGTAAAATACTAACTAAATCGCCGGTCAGCCGGATAAAATATTTCGAGTCTAAAATGTCCCGATAAATGAAAGGAATTTTTTCTGTATATAGTAAAAATGAACCTGAAGTTAACAATTTTGATTCAACGAAAAAATTTTTCTCTGAAAAGTTCAGGATACAAAGTTTTCTTAATAAAATTGTTCATTTTTTTCTTTTGACAATTATTTATTTTTATGTTAGAAACCATTTAAAAAAAATTCAAGAGGATGTAAGGCAGGGAATGCAGTGAATTTGTATTTTTTTTGTCACAGATTTTCCGAAAATCCCGAAATTTTAAGTAAATTGTTAATTTATTTTAATTATTTAGTTTAACTAATTTTCTTGACTTGGAAGCAATTTTTTTCTTTTGATAATTATTTATTTTAATATCAGAAGCCATTTAAAAAAGATTTTAACAAAAATCACTACTTTCTCCGACTTGAATCCTTTTGGAATTTTTTTTAATGGCTTCTGACATTAAAATAAATAATTATCAAAAGAAAATTATCTGATTCGTATTTACTATAATCATAAGCAGATATAGAATTTTTTCACTCAAACTTTCAAATGATAAAATGGTTATGTTTTTTTCATAATTTTATAATAACCTAATTTTAAAGAGTTACAATTTTTAATTGTGTAAAACATGAATTAACAAATGTATGTTAAGTCTAAATGCAATAAAACATAATTTATTTAAATAAAATAATTTTTTTGAAGAAGAGTAATAGTTCTATATAAATGTTACAGTTACTATAAAAGTTTAATAAAGTTCATTATTTTATCCGGATACTGTCAAACGTCTATCACCAGTACATATAGTAAATAGCCGAATGAAATATTTTGGGAGCTATATGTCCGTATATCCGGACGTTTAGACGAAAATATTTCGTCCGACTAGCCGGACGTATAGACACTTCGTTTTTTAAACACTGCTTCTCTTATTAGAGTCTTGCTTTTAATCTGGATCAAGTGGCTGTGGATAATTTTCGAGAATATCTTCGAATTGAATCTGTCCATCCGAATGTCAATTACAGTAATTATATTTTTCACTGCTTTTTAAGTGTTTCAAAAAATAACCACCCACATAGCACAGAAATTTTCTACAAGTTTGCCATAAATATAAACTTGCATAAATATAAAAATGTCACCCACATGGCAAGTTTGCAGCAAACTTGCGTCAAATAGCAAAAACTTAACTGTATGCGCAGTAGTTTACTATGACATCTAGAGCTGCGCACTATATTTTAGTCACCTTCCCTTAGAGGTAAGGCATCATTCATCAAAATATTTATGCATTTTGAAAAATAGTTATTATCGTATCAAGGGCGCAAAATAGGTGATTGCGGCGATGGCGAGATGAAGGGACCGAGGGGACATTTTCGCGCCCGAGGCTAAGCCGAGGGTGCGAAAGTGTCCCCGAGGTCCCGAAATCTCGCCAAAGTCGTAATCACCTTTGCGCCCATGTTGCGAACATAATTTTTTGTCCTAACTGCATGAAAAGTATGGCATTGAGGGCACGAGCGAAGCGGGCGCAAAAGTCCAGCAAGCGGGCGATAAAGTACTTTTGCGCCCGCTTCCCCGACCCCGGGCGAGAATCAGTTACTTTGCGCCCACTTTAAGTGCCCGAAATGACATACTTTTCGTGCAAGTAGGACAAAAAAAATTTTTTTTAATTTTTTAGGTATTTTAGAAAGTTTGCTGCAAATTTTCCTCAAGTTTTCATTGCAAACTTGCCAAGAGGGTGACAATTTTATATGTATGCAAGTTTGCTGCAAACTTGGATACAAACTTGCGAATTTTGCATGGAAAACTTGCAGCAAATTTGCAGAAAAATACTGTGCTATGTGGGCAGTATTTTTATACTATTTGTTAATGTATGGCAAAGCAATTGCCTTTTAGTAAAATCTATTTTTTTCTGTGGTGGTCCACATTAGCTCCCTGTATTTCCTTTCTGAGAAAGCAGGCCCAGTCTTTGAATCTGCCGATAAAAGTAATCGAATTGGCTCCAAACAAACCCCAAGCGGTGATAACATGGAAGGGCACAGAGCCTGAAAAGCCCTCGATATTACTCAGTGGTCACATGGATGTCGTTCCCGTTTTTCCAGTAAGTTGCTCAAATATTTCTACTGGAAACTAATTAATTAGTTATTAGTAAACTAGTTACTTTTCCTCTTGTTTTATTTTGTACGTTACGTCTCAGAATAAAAACTAAACAATTACTTATTTAATAACATTAGCATCAGTAAATTCTTGTTTCTTTTACAAAGCCGAAGTCTCCGAGCTAAGAGTACGGATACAAAAAGAAAATTAAATATTTTAACAGTTATTCTAACACAATACGTTAATTCTAAAATTCTCTGTCGTTTGGCTTCAGGACAAATGGAAACACTCACCGTTTGGAGCCGAAATGGATGCCGAAGGCAACATTTACGCTCGAGGAGCTCAGGACATGAAGAGCGTTAGTATTCAACATATCGAAGCAATTCGTCGATTAAAACTAGGTGGAATTCGACTAAAACGAACAGTTCACTTGTACTTTTCCCCGGATGAAGAAATCGGAGGAAAACTTGGAATGGAAGCTTTTCTCAACTCCCAAGAATTCAAAAATCTAAATGTTGGATTTGCTCTAAACGAAGGAGGCATTTCCGAAAGCAACAAAATTATCGTTACATATGCGGAAAAAGCGCCTTATCAACTACAGATCAATTGTCCAGGAGAAACGGGTCATGGTTCAACGTTATTCAACAATACAGCTGGAGATAAACTGCGATACATTATTGATCGTTTCATGGATTACAGAGCTTCGGAAAAGGCGAAGTTGATAGATCCAAGGGTGAAAGCTGGAAATGTTACGTCCATTAATTTAACAATGCTAAAGGTATTCTGTCATTTTGAATTGGTTTCATATTCAGTCAGTTTTTGATTAAAAAAAATATGAAAAATTTTATGTAATAAAATATGAAAAACTACTTAGGGAGGTCTTCAAATGAATGTTGTCCCTCGCGAACTGTCGGCAGCTTTCGATATCAGGATACCACCGGATCTTAAAATTTATCGAACTTTCGAGGAAATGATACAAAAATGGTTGGAGGATGTTGGCTGTGAAGTCGATGCTAGCACCAAGAATCATTCGGTGCCTGTCAAGGGCACACGATTAGATGACAGTAATGTTTACTGGAAGCCTTTCAGAGAAGCTTGTCTTAAATCTGGAGTTGAGATCGATCTTTCTATTGCTCCTTGGGCTACCGACGCATACTCTTTACGAGCTGTAAGTGCTTGACAAACAGTTAATTTTAAGTCTGTTTTTTATGGTTCTGAAAACATTTAAGAACGATTAAGATTTTGCAGTTTCATTTTACAAACATATTTTTAAATGCACATTTTGATAATTGCAGATTGGGATTCCGGCATTAGGATTTACACCAATTAACAATACTCCTCCGCTTCTTCATTCTCACAATGAATATTTAAATAAAGATGTTTTTCTAAAAGGAATAATTATATTCATGGACATTATAACAGCCATTGCTAACGTTTAATGAATTAGAGATTCGAAATTTATAATTTTAATAAAGTATTACCTAAACTATAATTTTTTAATGCTGTTTTCTGATTTGAGATGATTTATCCAATAGAATGTAGACATTCAAAAAAAGAATTTATTAACTGATTAAGTTATTATTTTTAATAGTATTTCCTAAAAAAACAAATATTTATTTTTAAGAAACAAATTGACTATAAAAAATAGTGTATTAAGCAGCAAGGGAACAAAAGCAACCATTTGTTTGTACTGCTTACGATATGTTTTATTCCTAATGCACAAAGATGGTAAATTTTCCCATGCAGATACAATATTAATTTGCTATAAAAAGCAAGTGTATATAGACAAATATGATTAGTTTTTAGGTGCACTATTTGTTAAAATATTTTTTAAGTAAAAAAGAATCATTTCATGTGCTTGAAAACATTTTTTCTTTCCATGAATGCAAATTTTTAGAGCGCATGATTATCCCCTAGTGTTCATTCCAAATAACTTTTAAAAGGAAGAATTTTATAAGATATAACGTTTCTTTACAGATGTTTTGTTTGTTTAAATTACTAAATATCAAAATGCATACGTAAACAAAAAATTTAATAAAGGACATTACTTTTCAAATAAAAGAATTTGTATTTGAAATATTTTTTAAGTATGTATTAGAATTTTTATTGCGCTAAAGATTCTTTGATTAAAAATTCTATTTCTAGTAAATTTTGTTACAAAAATTATTGTTTATCAAGAAATTTATTTAATAGAAAATTCATGTGTTGAATTTTTTATTTAAAAGAATTTTCGTACAGCACAATCCTCATTTCCATAAAAAATTATCAAATGTAATTTTTGTTTGATGGATTATTCATTAATAGAATTTGTCTATGTAAATGTTTTTCTTTATTAAAAGTATCTTTAACAAAGAAAGAAGAATTTGTAATTATTATTTATGTTTAATTAATTTGCAAGTTTAAAAAAAACTCCTTTGCCCTTAGGTTCAGTGATCGCTTAGTACATTCCTGTTAGAGAAAGATTGTTTTGTTTTTACATGCTCGTTCCATTCTCAGCACTTTATCGCCGATGAAATGGGATGAATAGTCTGTTGAATCATTCAGTTAGTTCACATTATCATTCTCGCGTGATTTCTAAAGAACACTATAAGAAAAAAAAGAAAATGTCTACTGATATTTTGGAACCTCTATCATTAAAAAATTGGCAATTACTTGCTGAAACTTTAAAAAATAATTGGCCCGCCAATGTTCAAGTAGGTACATTCAATATTTTATATAAAACTTTCCAGTTTTATTCTTAACTGAAAATCCGTTATTGTCAATATTTAATTGTAATTTAGTGTTGATATTTATTTATATTAAATTTAAAAACAATTTTTTTATATTTCAACAAATTTTTTTTATTACATTTTTTTATTACAAACAATTAATTAAATAAAAAAACAAACAAACAAAAAAATAGAGAATCAAAAAGAACAAAAATAACACATGAACAATTTTTTTTAAATGTTTACAAACTAAAGAAAAAAGAATGAACAAAAAATTGAGTTTTTTTAATTATTCATAAAGAAAAAAAACAAAAAGTAAATAATTTTCAAAAAATAAATAAAAAAAACAGAATCAAAAAGAACAAAAAAAAGCAAGAACAAAAATAACACATGAACAATTTTTTTTAAATGTTTACAAACTAAAGAAAAAAGAATGAACAAAAAATTGAGTTTTTTTAATTATTCATAAAGAAAAAAAACAAAAAGTAAATAATTTTCAAAAAATAAACAAAAAAAAACAGAATCAAAAAGAACAAAAAAAAGCAAAAACAAAAATAACACATGAACAATTTTTTTTTAAATGTTTACAAACTAAAGAAAAAAGAATGAACAAAAAATTGAGTTTTTTTAATTATTCATAAAGAAAAAAAACAAAAAGTAAATAATTTTCAAAAAATAAACAAAAAAAAAACAGAATCAAAAAGAACAAAAAAAAGCAAAAACAAAAATAACACATGAACAATTTTTTTTTAAATGTTTACAAACTAAAGAAAAAAGAATGAACAAAAAATTGAGTTTTTTTAATTATTCATAAAGAAAAAAAACAGAAAGTAAATCATTTTCAAAAAATAAACAAAAAAAAACAGAATCAAAAAGAACAAAAATAACGGATGAACAATTTTTTTAAAAAAATATTTACAAACTAAACAAACTTTTGATTCATCACGTAAGCCGGATTTTTCTTCTTCTGCTTTTGCTCTCTTCTTTTCATTTTTTTCGAAAAATTTTTTAGCGGAAATTTCACTCCTTTCCAGTAATAAAAGTCTACTCCTTCCACCAATTTTGATAAAAATGTTTTATCATCATCATCATCATCATCATCATCATCATCATCATCATCGTCATCATCGTCACTGTCACTGTCACTATTGTCATCCTGTTCCTGTTCGTCGTCAGTGGTGGTGTCACTGTCGTCAATTTCTAAAATGTACCCGTCATCACTGTCCTCGTAAGTGTTGCTATTGTCGGGAATTTTATTTTTCTGTTCTTCTTGTTCGTCATCGGTGTCACTCTCGTCAATAATTTTAATTTTTTTCCCTTTACTTTTGTCCTTGTCTGCGTCTTGGTCCATTTTTCTTTTTCTGTCCGTTCGTTGTGTCGATGGTCCTTCAATTCCTTCTCCTTCATCTCTCATTACATCTTCGTGCACTAATTTTTGCAAATAGAAGGAGAAGAATTTCTGAAATTAAAATAAATAAATATATAAATTTATTACATTTTTTTAAAATTACAATAAATGAATTATTTTAATCAAGTAATATTTATTGTCCATTTGTGACAAAAGGGAGCGCATATTCCTTTTGTCGCAAATGGACAATAGATATTAATTGATTAAAAAAAAAATAAATAAATAAAAGAGCTAATGAGAAAACTGTTTTAAAAAGAAGAAGAAGAAAAATTAAAAATTGTTTATGTGTGTGTAAATAAGAAGGAATGAATAAGAGAGAGAGAGAGAGAGAGAGAGAGAGAAAATGAAATTGAAAGAATAAGACAGAGAGAGAGAGAGAGAGATAGATAAGAAGATAGTGAAATTAACAGAGCAAGAGAGAGAGACATAATGAAAATACTCACTCTTTGTGAAGCCATGATGATGCAAACTGTGCGAACTGTGCGAACTGAAGAAAGAAAAATTTTACGCAGCTTGAAAAATTTGTTGAAAATTAATAAAATTTCCCCTTCTCCAGTCAACTTTCTCGTAGGGAGAATGAGGGAGTTTTCCTTTAGAAAATGAGACGGCGAGTGTTTCTATTAGTGGGAAGGGAGGGCGTGGAGAGAGGTATGCGCAAATTTAATGAAGGACATTTTCCTTTAGAAAAAAAGACATGAGTGAGAAATCTCGAATTTAAATCGAAAATAATCGAATGTACTCTCGCAGTTATAGCAATGAAAATTAAACATAGAAGGGCACACTCACATTTCCAAATCCAAATGAAATATAGTACCTTAAAAATTCACACATAGTTAGAAGATGGAGCTGCTGCTCTTTTCAATATTATTAAGAAGTAGCAATTTTTATTTTAATTAACTTAACTTTAGAGAAATTAAATAAAAATTTAGGTAATTTTAAATGAGTCACAATAAACAATTTAAAATCAAATAAAAGGAACATTTGGCATAGAAAAAAGAAGGAAGCAAAGAAGTTGACCGCGAAGCGGTCGACGAAGCTCTATAGTCAAAAAGAAAAACAAACACAAAGATTATAGAGGGAACGTGAAGGGCAAGGCAATAAATTTCTGTGGTTGTTATTTTCCATTATCTTAAAACTAATCAACAAGAAAATTTAATAGTTACTATTTAGTATATTTTAATTATAAATACATTATTCAATGAAATTTAAAAATAATGCAAAATAATGCCTTTACCCCAAACGCATTTATAAGCATTTAAAAGAAAAGAAATTAAAAATTGGTATTTATTAGTAAAATATTTACGAAACATGTGGTTAATAATATAAGTTATTAAAAGAATTAAACTTGATTTATATAATAAGACTTAAAACATAAGTCTTAAATTTTAAGTCTTATGTATTAAGTCTTATGTTTTAATACTTAAGACATAAGTCTTATGTCTTAAGTCAACATAACAACCGTTACCATGGCAACCGTTGCTATGTTAACGGTTGCCATAACAACCGTTGCCATGGCAACCGATACTATGGTAAGAATAAAAAATTTGCAATCTTAAGTTCAAAAAGAATTTCTAAATAAATTATTATTTTTTTTGTCATTTTAGGCCACAAAACCCTACGATGTATAGGCGCATTGCGCCTGCTTCTCTGACTGACTTTTTTATTAATTTATTCAATTTCTAGTATTACTACTTTCTTCAAACTGCACAAAAATGGAAATTTAAGGAACCAAATATCCCTATCACAATTTATTGTCCAAATGGAAATTATAAATCTGGTATATTTGTTGCAGTATCTTCTGTAAGTATTCCAATTTCGCACTGTATAAAGAAATTTTTCATTTTTGGATTCAAAAAAAAATTTTAAATCTTTGAGTCTGCTAAGAGGAAATTTTAACATTTAATTTTTACAGTTTACAATTTACAGCGTTTTTATTTTTGCGCATGAAGGTTTTGAGGAATTATTGTATAAGGCCGTAACCGAAACTAAATTTATAGAATGGAACAAGGGTTGTTTTATTCCAGCTATTCAATCTCGACTCGTTCCAACTGTTTATTCTATCATTGAATTTATGAAGGTTAAAAGAAAGGTGGAAATAGAATGGAATGTTCCTGGAAATTGTTTATTTAAATCCAAGGAAGAGTGCGCCGTTGAAGAAGTGCAGTAGGTTTTCTTTCTCTATGTTCTAAATCATCCTTGTTTTTAAAATATACTTCATCATTTAAAATAATAAATCTGTTTTTTATAAGTACTCTAAAGCATTTCGGAATTGACTCTTCATACATTGTTTAAACTATAAGATTTATCTTGTATCAATAACTCGATAACGTCATATCTTCAGTAAATAAGTTGAAATACTGTCAACTGAATTTTGAAGATGTAATAATTTATCATCATAGTAAGTATGATGCGAATAAAAGAATTTTTTTATTTAAATATAATTCTCTTTACTGAATTTTTATACAAAGTTTTGCTAGTTTTCTTTAAAATTTTTAAGGAGTGTATGTGTATTTAATCTTTTAATCAAATACTATGCATTGATGAAACTTTTCACTAAGAAAAAAGAATAGATTTATTGTTCTAATACACAAAATGAAAATAATAATTCTTGTCTGTATTTTCAGAATTCCTGAGGATTGTTATTTGAAAGAGTTAGATGAATCTCACGTACATGTAATGCATTCTGTTTGGCCACATAGAAATGAAGAAAATCCTGAATTAACTACCAGACAAATATTAGCAATGGTACAATTCAATGGAGGCATAGGTTTATTTTCAAAAGAAACCGATCAACTTCTTTCGTGGGCTACACAATCGGAAATAGGTGCCATCAGTCTTGTTCAAACGATTGACCGTTGCAAACGCAGAGGATATGGAAAAGTTGTTACAAACGCTTTTGCAAAAGTATTGTCATCGAAAAATATTGATTCGTTTGTGTTCATAGTAAAAGGAAATCTTCCCTCGGAATCCATGTTTAGTTCATTGAATTGGAAACATGTCCATGGCACTGACTGGATTCAGACGAAAAAAATCACTGTTGATGTAGACAGCTAACATTGAACAATAATTACGATTTGAAATAATTTACTAAGTGTAGTATCAAATTATTTTGTCTTACCTGCTCGTCGATGATGAAAATATAGTTTTTCTGTTTGTAGGGCAGATTATTAATTGAAATGAAATTATTCACCGATTAGCTATTGAAGAAAGATAAATTCTTGTAATATATTCTGCGTGGTGTTTAACCGTATTAAAGCTAAAAAGACACTTTATTGTATTCTTTTTCCATTAATTCAGAAGTTTTAAATATATTATGAGCCAAACGTTAATTGTTAATCACTGGAAATCTGATTATTTCCTTAACCAAATTTTCTGGAAGAAAATAATTCGTAATAATAAAATTATTTTTTCTTACCTGAATTTTGATGATGATAGAGAGTCCTGAATATGATTTCGGTTATACATTTGAAAAGAGCAACTTTATGATTGTTATTGTCGATTCAAACGTTGATGACACATTTGTTTGTGTAATATAATTTTAAAGTGTCAAATATATGACTGATGTCAAAATTTAATTAATTCTATATGTCGAAATGAAACCGAATTTCTCGCCGAGGTGAAATTAAATTACGTAATTGCTATCCATGTGTTCTTATTTGTAAAAATATTTGGATAAGGCCTTTTTTATTATTTAACATTTTAACTACACATAATTTTTAAAGCAACGTATAATTTTTTATTTTTAGAGACAAACATCTGTCGTTTACCGATATATGATATATTTAAGGAAAGTCTTTGTTAAATTCTGATAAAACAATTTTCAATTTACTCAGCTAAGATAAAACAGTATCCATAAAAAATATTGTCTTATGTAATTTTTTTTTAAATTTCAATGTCAACACTTGTATGAGGCTTTTTCCTGAAATTCGTACCCATTCTTTGTATTTCATTTCTAAGTTAACATTAAAAAAAAATTTCTTTTACTATAAATGTCTGTTGATATTTTGGAACCACTACCTTTAGAGAAATGGAAATTGCTTGCGAAAACACTGAAGAATAATTGGCCTGCCAATATTCAAGTACGTATGGCAAAGTGTGGTTAATTCTTTCTAGTCTCTTTTTGAAGAGCATTTATAGTAGTTTTAACCATATTAGGTTTTCTATTGTTTCTAGTGTTACTATTACCTACGTACTGCAGAAAAATGGAAATTAAAAGAACCGAATATCCCCATTACAGTTTATTGTCCACATGGAGATTATAATTCTGGAATATTCATCGCAATATCGTCTGTGAGTATTTTGTCGATAATGCAATCCCTGTAAATCTGATTCCCTAATCAAATTTTCTGGTAAAATAAAAATTTCGATCTAAAGATCTAATTACCTAAATTAGAAGTCATCGTGATGAGACAACAAGCGTTAACATTTTTATGAATTAAATGTTTCGGCACTTGAAGGATCTAAAAATCTTATGATTAGGGAGTTATCTTTTAAGCGAAATCAGTTCTATGATTGTCGATTCTTTACAGAATCCATAATTTACTTTTTTACAGATCACAATTTACTTAGTTTTTCCTTTTGCGCATGAAGGTTTTGAGGATTTTTTGTACAAGACTGTGACTGAAACTAAGTTTATAAAATGGGACAAAAGAATTTTTTTCCCCGCGATGCAATCCCGACTCATTCAGACTGTTAACTCCATCATCGAATTCTTGAAGGTGGAAAAAAAGATAAAAATGGAGTGGTGTTTAGAGTTGGATTGTTACTTTAAGTCCAAAGAAGAATGCTCCATTACAGAAGTGAGGTAAGTAATTGAGGTACAATTTTGAATCAATTGACTCTCAATACTTTTTAATGGCAGCTGTTGCTATACAACTAAGAAGAAACTAAAATTAAAAATCTTAGACAATTGATTTTGCTACTAGATTGCCTGAGGACTGTTATTTGAGAGAACTTGATCATAGTCATGTACCTTTGATACATGCTCTATGGCCACATCGAAGTAGAGAGGATCCGGAATTAACAACCAGACAAGTGTCAGCAATGATAAATTTTAACGGGGGATTAGGTTTATTTTCAAGAGAAACGGGCCAACTTCTTTCTTGGGCTGTTCAGTCGGAAATTGGTGCTATCAGTCTTGTTCAAACGATTGATCGTTGTCAACGCAGAGGATACGCAAAAATTGTTACAAACGCTTTTGCAAAATTATTAGCATCGAAAAATATCGATTCGTTTGTGTTCATAGGAAAAGAGAATAGTATATCAAAATTAATGTTCAGTTCAAGCAGCTGGAAATATTATGATGAAATACACTGGATTGAATTGCACTCTGCATAAGATATTTTGGAGGTCCCCTTTTCCTTTATTTTTTTCCCCACTTTACTTTTTCCAAACCTCTATTTGTATATTATAATTAAATATCTTGAAATACATTAAAATAAGTAAATAGTAAGTCAAACATAATAGTTTGTTCTAATCCTTTCTTCATGCTTAATTTGGTCTTTAAAGTATTAATTCTGTACATTATTTACATTTATTTATATTATTTATATTTATCATTAAATATAAAGAAAATGATGCAGTAACAATAAATACTTGAAAAAGAAAGAAAATCGATATAATCTTTTTGAATCAAATTAGTAAATAGTTTTACAAACAAGATATTTATTGGAATAGTTGCGACTCTGCTTTAAAATCAAATATTAATACAATCTTTAAATATGAATTAAGTAAACTGAATTTAAAAGAATTGGTAATTCTAGATAATTAAAATTTAATAAAAATATACAATAAAATAAAATTTATTATTTAGACAATTAACTACTGACGTGGGTTTAATGTGCTAGACACATTTTAACATATCCAATTGAATAAAGAATGTGAAAAGCTCACGTTTGATCATATACGAAAATAAGATATTTTGATTAATAAATATTACACGTGTCAAAGTTTATTAAACCCACAAATTTGAAAAATGGCTAGCTTTGTCACATTTAATGCGTGAAATTCGTTGAAAAGACATTATTTATTTAACTTTAATTTATTCCGCAGGTAAAAGTAAACATGTAAATAAATAATATTTGGTTTTTCTGAGTTATTCGAAAAAATAAGGTAATTGTTATCTTAAATTAAAATATTATATTAAGAGTGGTGAATAGTTCGATTAGCACTCATATAAATAGATCAGAAATGGGTATTATCGTGAAAGGCAAAAATTAACTGCTGGACATAATTTCTAAACTTTTTGGCACTTTATAGTGATTTCCGTTTTTGTTTTCTTTTTTGCTAAAAGCTCAAAATGATCAACAATGACAAGTAGGCAAATTTTCATTATTCCTTTTTGATTTAAATTATAACAAATTTTACTAAAATATTACTTTGGTATTTAAAACAATAGATAAACTATTTTTTGTACAATACTTTGGTATTTCTTATTTTGTAATATTTTTCATTTCAAGTTTCACTTTGTGGAAGAGACGACAATCTGCTAAACGAGGTCTATTAATATTTTATGTGACGTCTCTTTATTTAACATTGACAAATGGACAAAATAACTTCTTAGCAATTGGTAAGTTTTACATCAGAAGTATTAAATTATATTAAGTATTTATTTAAATTTCTTAAGAATGAAAAAAAAATTTTTAATTATACTGTTTCCATATAACGGTAATTTAACTATTTGCCCAAAATTTTAGAGAATTTAGACTACAGCATAGATCCGTGCGACAATTTTTACAAATTTGCTTGCGGTAAATTTATAAATTCTATTGTTATTCCGGATGACAAAACATATGTTGATGCTTTTAGTTTTGTTGAAGATAGAATTCAAGTGCAATTGAAAGATGCTCTCGAGGAGGAAATCAAACATAACGAGACAAGACATGTGAAAATAATTAAGACTTTTTATAAAAATTGCATAAATGAAAGTGAGTTGTAGTGCAATTATCTCTGAAATTAATTATTACTGCTAATAATTACTTATAAGTTAATTACTAATAAATTACCAATAATTATTTATTATCTACCACTTACCATTATTTAATTATTGTTAATTAATTATTAATTATCAATTACCCAAGTAACTAAGGTTATAGAAATAACTCCCTTATAAAGTAAAGTGACATGAATAGAAAAAGATGCTTTTAATTTTTTTAGTTGCAATAAATGAGAAGGGCTTGCAAACTGCGATTGATATTTTGAAGAAATTAGGTGGATGGCCCGTTTTGGAAGGAGATTCTTGGAGAGAAGAGAATTTTAACTGGCAACAATTAGTTTATAAATTTAAAAGAGAAAGTATTCCGCTAACTAATTTTTTCGAATCAGGAGTTGTTATTGATTCAAAAAACAGTTCAAAAAGAGTATTATATGTAAGTTGGTAAAATTATGCTTTACCGCATAGTTGTATAATCTTGTTCGTTTAATTTACACACTCTTCACTCAGACATAATAATTTTACAATAATAAATTTTAGATTGATCAACCACTACTTGATCTGACTCATGAAAATATTAAACAAGGTTTCAGCAATAACGTTGTTGAAGCTTACTACAAATACATGATTGATATAGCAGTTGATTTTGGAGCTGACGAAACAAAGGCCAAATGGGAGTTGAAAAAATCACTCGAATTAGAAATGAATTTAGTGAATGTAAATGAATTTTAATAAATTTTAATGATCTCAAATGTTACAAACAAAACTGAAAGAGATCTGAAGGCACTTCATAATTTACAGATTTCAACGCCAGAGGATCGAGATGAAAGTGTGCTGTACTCCCTGACAATAGAGGAACTTGAAAAAAAGTATACTAGTATGTCGTGGAAACAGTACTTCAACAGTTTACTGAATTTAGATAATCAAATTGACGAAAACGATTCGGTGTTAGTCAAGAATCCCACTTTCTTCAGTGAATTTGAAAAGTTAATAGAGCATGTTCCAAAAAGAGATCAAGCAAACTTTATTATGTGGAAAGTAGTCAAAGGGATGATCAGTTATCTAGACGACAATGTCCGAATGAGAGAGTTAAGATACTTAACTGATACCGTTGGACAAAAAGAAAGAGAACCTAGATGGAAAGAATGTGTCTTACATGCAATGGATAACTTTGGACACAGTATTGGTTCGATTTATGTCAATAAATATTTTAATAGAGGATCTCGAAGTGATGTACGAGAAATGTTCGAAAACATAAGAGATGCATTTGGAAATCTTTTGAGAAGGGTACAAACATTTTTTACTTTTACTATTACTTTTTTTACTTTTTACTCATGTTTCAAAATGTAACTTTTATTTTAATTTAGCTGAATTGGGTAGACGATGTAACGAAGAAATATTTATTAGACAAACTCGAATCAATGGGAGCTTTCATTGCTTATGCCGATGAACACCTCGATGATGGAAAGATTGATGAGTTCTATGAAAAACTGGAAATAACGATTGGAGATCATGTCGAATCGATGTTGAATCTAACGTTATTCAATACTAATTATTTATTAGGACTGTGGAAAAAACCTGTGGATAAGGAGAGTTGGACTTTCAGCGTCAGCCCAGTAATTGTAGATGCATTTTATTCGTTGAATATTGATAGCATTCGTAAGTCTATTTTTTTAGTAGCATTCGTAATTTTAAATTTTGGTGAAGTCTAAATAAAGTATTAACATTATTCAGACTTAATTGAAATTTAAAATTGTATTTTTTAGTCGTTCCAGGAGGTATTCTTCAAGGAGCTTTTTATAGTAAAGATAGACCCTCGTTCATGAATTATGGTGCTATCGGTTTTTTAATAGCTCACGAAATTACTCACTTTTTCGATATAAATATGAAGAAGATTGCAGAGGAGAAAGCAAAGAAATATATTTCAAAAGTTGAATGTTTTATTCAGCAATATGAAAATTACACAGCTGAAGATGTTAGTCTGAATGTAAGTTCCATATTTTTAATTTTCAGTTCGAAAATTAAAAATAGATTATTGCAAAACAAAATTATAGGTACTTGAACGATTTTGCATCTAATAATTTCAGTTAAACGGACGCAGCACCCAAAGGGAAAATATTGCAGATAATGGGGGGATAGAAATTGCCTATTTAGCTTACAAAAAATGGGTAGAAGTGCATGGACCTGAAATGATTTACGATACAAAATTGACACAATCTCAACTTTTCTGGATTAGTACTGCTCAAATTTGGTGTACTAAATACAGACCCAAAGAGTTGATAAATAAAATTTCTAACGACATATACAGTCCAGCAGAATTCAGGGTTTTGGGATCATTTTCCAATAGACCCGAATTCGCAAAAGATTTTAATTGTTCAAGTGACTCTAAGATGATAGCAAAAAATATATGTTCTGTTTGGTAAAATTATTAATAAAAAATGGACTAGTGCTAGTAAAAATAATTTTTTTTAAATAAAACAGACTTCTAAATACACAACTGTACACATTTTATTATATCACAAGATTCTATTTGCATTAAATATTTTGCAAAAAATAAAAACGCATTATAATTAAGTTTGAATATGGCGTAAAAACATGTTCATTTCACAAATACATAAACAAATATTTGTTTAAATAAAATTTACAAGTTTGTGAATAATAATGACAATAATTTAGTATTCCTATTATGTACTCGCTTGATGAATGAAAATTATTAACTAAATATATAAGCTTTAATAAATAGTATAACATTATTAAATTCTATGGGATCAGCAACTGTCTTTTTTACGCTTTTAGTAAGTTTAGTCCGATCTTTAGTAAATAATCTCATTCATAATAACTTATATTTCTAATTGAATTCTTAATAGTAACTATAATGTGGACTAATATCATTTCTTTGCAAAAATCTTTTTTTAACATTCTATAGACTCTATCAACTTTTCCCTTTAATTGTTGATTAACAATTCATTAAATTAACTCCAAAGAATATTGTACATTTTACAAAATAGATCTTTTTTGCTACGAATTTTTTTCCTGATAAAAAAATAAATTTTGACAACTTTTGATTTTAAATATATCTTTTTTGTTGATACTTACTTTAAATTCCAACGAAATCGGAATTATTAGGCATTGGATTCGATATGTCTTCATAGTCTTGTCTTCCAAAACCTTTAAAAATAGAAATTAATTTAATTCAGTTTGTCATATAAGAGTGTTGTAATAAATAAATACGAAACGGTATTATTTACATAATTCGAAGTAAACAGGTGTTAAAAAATTTCTATGGCAAAAGCTTTTGATTAATTGAATGGTCTTTCGTTACCCATTGCCGGATCCGAAGGGAACATCATCGCCAAAGGTCCACCTCTTGCTCTACCAATTCGTAGAAGGAATATTGAGGAAAATACTCGCGCACAGGTGTTGAAGATGATACCTACTGCGCAGAATTTTTCATAGGTACCTGTAAAGTTTGTTTAATAAAATTACTTGAAAAAGTTAATCAATTTCTTTATTCTCAATTCTTCAACTAATTGAGGGCCTGAAACGGATAACTGCGTGCTACGCATGGTTGAAAGGGACTATAGACTATACAGTCAGACATTAGTGAGAGGCCTAGAGGCGTTCACTGTTGTCTGACTGGTATAGTCCCTTTCGCAGTTAATGCGTAGCAGGCAGTTATCCGTTCCAGGCCCTCAATAATAAAAATAAATATTAATTTTTTGACTTACCACTTGGAAAGTAAACGACTAATGCCACCACGTCAAATAATATGGAAAGTACGTTAATAAACAAGGCCTAGAATTGAAGTAAATTTTTCTTAGAAGCTTGTAATCCAAAAACTTTTTAACAACAAATTTCACAATAAAATCCCAAAGAGAAATGGTTCATCAGTTTTATGTCGCAAACTATTTTTCATAATTTAGATATTAGAAGTTTATTGTTAAGTTCCTACGTGAGGAATAATACTTACAAACTGTAGGGATTCATCTGTTTCTGTATTGTGAATAGCCCAAAAAAGACACATAAAAAATAGAACATTGTAAAATATCATTGATTGCGAAAATAAGAATCCTTGGAGGCCCCTGAAAATATAAAGAATTCGTTTTGGAATCCAACATTAAAGAAGTTTTATTTTTAATAAAAAATGTTATATTTCCAAATAAAAGTTTAATTACTTAATCTTTCAAACTAACCGGAATTACAAAAATAAAATTGTAAATTAAAAATAATTATAATAGTTTGTTAATTAAAACTAAAATCCTACCATGAGACGAGGAAGAAGTGGATAGCAAAAATTATCTGAAAATTAAAAGTTATTTTCATAAATTTTTAAACCTAATTTTTACCTTGGAGATAAATAGACAAAGAACTTAATTTGTAATGAATATTAAAACATATTGGAGGTTAATATTAATCAAATAAATGAAATTTACAAACAGTAAATAAAATAAAATAGGTAGTGTTAACATTATAATAAAATTTTACGTTTTTTACAAATTAGAAAAATTATAGATTTCTGTATGAAAATCTTGATAATTTGCACATCTAATTTTGCAAGATGAGTCATAAAATTTCGAAATACACAATTAATAATTAAAAAATTATCCGAAGCGTAAGTCAAATATGAAAACAAATAATAAAATTATAAATCATATTCACCTTTAAGGGACAGTGTGTAATAACTGAAAAATCCGGCATATTCGATACTTGCTTATATTATTCCCAATAAACCTAATTAGAAAGAAGAGAAAAATAAATTACAAAACACAATCACACTGCGTAGAAAACTATAAAATTCCATGGAGGAATATCTGCTTTTGACTTTTAGTATTTCTGCTATTGTTGTCATTCAGCAAAATGTACTTAAAATTGACTAAGCATGCGCGTATTGTGAATAAAATTTCTGTACTGTACAGCTGGCACTCTGAAGGATTAACATCAGGAATACTTGATTCGAAGTTGGATCGATTGCATGCTCCAGAGTGCTTCGAGAGTGTTTTGACCGAGAATCATCGTGTTCGGGTTATATTAGCAATTCTGCCTTTGTCATCTTCTTAAATTTTACTGATGGACTTATGATCTTCTACAGTTTTCTTTTCATTTAAGTTTTTAATAAAGAACGATGCTTAAAAATGGTCAAAATTTGCTTGCCTATAGAAGAGATTGTAAAAGAAGTAAAGAAGAAATGATTCATATTTACAACTATAATTTAAAAATTAAGGAACAATAAGAACAACCGAAACGTTAATTTGATGATTAAACCCCTAAAAACCCACCCCTTTAAATGCACTTTTATCAACCCTATCATACGGGGATTTCTTCGATTGGTCAATGATTTTTAACAAAATGTTATGTTTTCTAATTACAAATAAGCCACCTTTTATTTGGTTTGCCATTAACTCAACAACCCTTGATCATAATGAAAAAGCACCCCTATGTATCAACCCTAAAACATGAAAGTCTTAGAAGTTACGATTTATAAATAACAAAATAATTTTTCCAGAGTAATGATTCCTTTTTACAAATATGCAATGATAGATGGTAATACTATATAATTAACTTATCAACCCTTAATCATAATAATAAAAACATTAACCCTTATATGAGCCCATAAAAAGGCCTTTTTACTATGACTGAAATTTTATATTTCAAATCGAAATCAAGTCAACGATTACTAACTAACAAACTAACTAATTAGTAACTAACTAACTAACTAATAAACTAACTTATAAAACTTAATTACTAATTAACTTACTTAACTTAGTTACTAACAATCTTACTAACTAACTAATAAAATTAATTACTAACTAACTTACTAATTAGCTAAATTACTTACATAACTTATAGTTACTAACTAACTAGCTAACTAAACAACCCTCACAGCACCGGGATATTCAGGATATCCCAGAGACGTCCTGGGGATATCGATTTGTTTTCGGAAGTTTGGATATCCCTGGATTATCCTCTGGATATCCATGGACGTCCCTAGGATATCCCAGAGATATCCAAACTTCCGAAAACAAATCGATATCCCCAGGACGTCTCTGGGATATCCTGAATATCCCGGTGCTGTGAGGGAACTTACTTTTACTTAATTACTGAATAACTAACTTAGCGCTACTTAATACCTTACTAAGTTAATTGGTTAGTATAATTAGTAAGTTAATTAGTAATTTAGTTTGTAAGTTAGTTAGCTAGATGAAATTCGATAAAAAAAATACATATCAAATATGTTTCGATACTCTTGAACGCGGCATAAATTACCGGCTTGGCGACTTCGTTACTTGTTGGAGCAAAGCATCGAAAACGTGGTTCGTGACGTCACATACCGCTCCGAAGCAAAGTGGTCACTTGTTCTTGCTCGAAGTCAGGGCTCTTACAGCGACATAACCAAGACATAACCTAATGTACACGTAGCTAAAACAGCTTCGAGCTGCGTAATTTTTACCTTGTTGTTACTATTGTAGTGTTGACAAATCTATATTGTAGATTAGTGACTGTTTTTTGTTTTTAATTGTTAAAGTAAAAATGTTTCAAAGTTTACGCTATTGTAGGTTTAGTGTTAATAATCTCATAACTTTAAGGACAAAATTTTATCACAATGTTTCTGTTATCGGTACTCCACAAGATACAACTTCTTCAACTTACCAGGTTAGAATTTTAGACTATAAATTATTTTTTGCCTAACTACAATTTTATTTTAAGTTTTTCTTTTTTTATAAATTATACTGTAATCACATTTTTTGATTGTACGACTGAAGAAATGTGATTATTATTTAATTTATTTCTTTATTTATTATTCAGTATTCTATCAAGTTTATAATTTTATCAAAATGAATAAATTGAGTTTATCTTGTTTAGAGAAGTTGATCCTGAACTTATACTTTCCTTTCTACACATATGTATACGAGAAATAATATTAGAAACTTTTAATCTCCCGTCTCTGATTATATTCTATTTTTCATATAAAAATATTTATTTAATTAAAAATTAATTACGGTTTTATTTTTTTAAATCTTAATATTATTTATTTCAATCAAAACTACAGTTTTTTCTTATACTCAATTTCTTCTTTTCTTCTTTTTATAAGAAGTATATTAATTTTTCAAAAATAAAAACAAGTTTAGAGTTCAGAATTTTTATAGTTATTTTGAATTTGTTTTCTAATTTCATAATTAATTTTATGATTTTAAAATTTTTAAAATTCTTTTTGAAATTTTGAATATAAAAATTACTTTCTATATATATTTTTAAGTGTTGTCATTTATCGTATCTTGAAGAACAATGACTGAGCTTTAAAAAGTGTTGCATTAAATTATTTTTTATTGATTGTAAATTGATTACTGGTTTATTCTGATTTTGTTTCTTATTTAAAATTATAAATTTGAAAAAAATAATACATTTACCGAATTGGAACTGGAATTAGATAATTTAGCACACTATTTTAATATTTGCAATCATATGCAGATGTTTTCAATCTCGGCTATTTGTTTACTACACTGCTTAGTCTCTTATCAATTCTCACGAATTTTGTCCCAGACTCTTATCTTCTTGTCACTTTTTCCTCCGAAAGCTCAAAGGGTATAGACGCATAATCGAAAATTATTCAAATAATTAACTTATTATTCATTTTTTTCGCTTCAGGTTTATGATATGGTTGCGGGGCTACTGCAAAACCGTGTAACTGCAAATTTCTTAAAGGCTATTTTTTATGCAATTTGCTATACAATATAGTCCTTAATGAATTTGCAGATGTGCGGTATTGTTGAAGCTCCGATATATTTTATGTAGGTAGGTCATAATATAACTCTGAAGGGAGTAAATTAATTTGTAGTAGATCTTTAACTCAAAAATTGAATTTATTCTTACTCTAGTTGCAATCTACTATCTAAATTTTGTACACAGCATAGAAGTCCCCTTAAAAACTCTAATAGAAAGTAATGCTTTTAATAGGAAAATTATGCACAAATGAAAGTTTTGGTGGATGAATTGAAGACGACTACGAGTAAAATAGTGGATGGAGGTGGTCGTAAAGCAAAGGAGAAGCATGTAAGCAAAGGGAAATTGTTACCTCGTGATAGAATAAACATTCTACTCGATAAAAACTCTCCATTTCTTGAATTTTCCCAATTAGCTTGCTATCGGATGTACGAAAATGAAGAGGTACCGGCGGCAGGAATTATCACAGGCATCGGAAGAGTCGAAGGGTATGCGGAATTTCTTCTTACGCCACTTTTTCATTCTCATTTTCATTAATCTATTCTCTATTCCTTTTCATATCATCATCATATGAATTTCATTTTTTATTCCCATTGGTACACTTCCACTGGTAAATAAAAAGTAACAAATTTATTACAGTGAATAACGTCACTATAAAAATTTATCGCATGTAAAAACTTGAAACGGATGTGAGAGATTTTTTTGAAAACTGATTGAATAATTTGCAAAGAAAGAATAAATGTAATGATAATAATCAGATATTCTAATATGACGAGCATTTATATAATAAAAGATAAATAAGTTCCATAATGAGACGTTTGGATATTTTTTTGAATAATTGAAAAATGAACATCGATGATTTTCGAGAGTATAAATAGTGAAAACGAGGGTTTCTTTTGCAGAACTGAGTGCGTGATAGTAGCAAATGACGCGACAGTTAAAGGAGGGACTTATTATCCTATGACAGTGAAGAAGCACTTGCGTGCCCAAGAAATTGCTCAAGAAAATAGGCTACCGTGTTTATATCTAGTAGACAGCGGCGGAGCTAATTTGCCTCGACAGGCAGATGTCTTTCCAGATAAAACGCACTTCGGGAGAATTTTTTACAATCAGGCAAACATGAGCGCTGCAGGAATCGCTCAAATTGCTGTCGTGATGGGCAGTTGCACGGCAGGTTTGTTCACTTAAATTCTTCACCACAACAATTCAACTTTCAGATTCAACTCGAGCAAAAAATTATGATCGAACGACAAATGTTTTGCAGAACAACAACTTGGCCTTGACACTTTTACTTCAACACTTTTACTTGAGGAAATTAAAAGGCATTACTAAAACTAAACTTACTTATTACTAAACTATTTCTTAGTCGAATTATGATAGCTGATGCTTTTAACTTTAAAAGACTAGGATTTTCAACTTTTTAATTGCGGATCTAGCAGAGAATTAAAAAGAAGAAGTTCAACTTACTTAAAGTCTTTTAATTGGTCTTCACTTTTGAATCTTTTTACTACAAATAAAAAAATTATTTAACTCTGAAAGTTTGTAACGAAATGAAACATTATTTTTTATGCAGAAATAAGAAAAAACCTGAAAAGTGGTTATTAAAGTAGTTAACAATTACAGGAGGCGCATACGTGCCTGCAATGTCCGATGAGAATATAATTGTCGACAGGCAGGGGACGATTTTTCTCGCCGGACCACCTCTCGTTAAAGCCTCGACCGGCGAAGAAGTGACGGCCGAGGATTTGGGTGGAGCGTCGCTTCATTGTCGGTACAGTAACGAAAAAGTAAACTCCCTTCCCTTAGTGCTTGCAATCTGACTCAAAAATTATTGTCCACTAGTAACTCGGGCGTGACGGATCATTTAGCAGTGGACGACACTCACGCCCTTCATCTCACACGTCGAATCGTGAAGAACCTGAACCGCAGCCGAAGAATGGACTTGAAACCGGACCAGAATATTGAGTTACCGTTACACAACGTGGACGAGATTTATGGTATTGTTGGTGCGAACCTGAAGCGTCCCTTCAACGTGAAGGAAGTAATTGCGAGGGTCGTCGATCGCTCCGAATTTCACGAATTCAAGGCGGAATATGGAGAGACACTGGTCACTGGATTTGCGAGAATTCACGGCTACCCAGTGGGAATTGTCGCTAATAATGGTGTCCTCTTTTCGGAGAGTGCACTTAAAGGCGCACATTTCGTGGAGCTTTGCGCACAAAGGAAGATTCCTCTCATTTTCTTGCAGAACATAACCGGTAAGAAGCTTGGGCAGGGTCTTTTTTTTACTCTTCTCCTTGTTGACATTTTTCTCAATGAGATGTGACGTTATTCGCGGAATGTTGCAGGTTTCATGGTCGGTCGCGACGCGGAGGTTGGGGGCATCGCAAAAAACGGAGCGAAAATGGTGACTGCAGTGGCCTGTGCTCAAGTTCCGAAAATCACTGTCATTATCGGCGGATCATATGGGGCTGGCAATTACGGAATGTGCGGCAGGTCGTACTCACCGAGGTTCCTCTATTGTTGGCCGAATGCCAGAATTTCGGTGATGGGGGGCGAACAGGCTGCGGGAGTGTTGGCGCAGGTGAAGAAAGATCAGCGACTCAAGGAGGGCAAAGAGGTGAAGTGATATTTAGTCCTCCCCGCTTCTTACGCCTTTTAGCAAACTCAATAATCCACGTTTCTTACAGTGGACCCAAGAGGAGGAAGACTCGATCAAAAATCCAATTATTCAGAAGTTCGAGGAAGAAAGTAGTCCTTATTACTGTAGTTCAAGGTAAGAATTTTTTATCCCCTTTGAATAATTAAAACAAACTTACCTGCAAGTCTATCGTGTTTCGCAGTTTACTGATTTGACATAACGTCTTCTTTTTAGACTCTGGGATGACGGAGTGATCGATCCAGTCGACACGAGAACCGTCTTGGCTCTGAGTTTATCCGCTGCGCTCAATGCACCAATCCCAGACACGAAGTTTGGCATCTTTAGAATGTAAAAAGCAAATATTTTCTATAATATATATATATATATTTTCGCATCTATAAGTGCGACGGCTGTTACTTTGTTACAAGTTTGACAAAGATTTATATTTTTTATATTCGATTTGGAACATTCCAGAAATATACATTTTAACGGAAGACAATTTTTGCTTTTTTGACACCTTAAAATTACGTTTACAAGCAATTATGCATCTTTGATATTCTCTCGATCAGAAGCAAAGCTCTGTTTTGGGAACTATTACGCGTCTACAGGGTTATACTTAAAATTGGAAAGAAATCTACCGATTTCTGTACCGATTTACAATATTCGACGCTGATAATTTACTCTAAGAATTAAATAGTCTAAGCGAGATTATAATATATACAATTACGATGGAATATTACAAGTAATTGAGCGAATCCATTTCGGCGCTTCTACTTAGTCGAATTATTTTACAGGTTAATGTCTTACAAGGGAAAAGCGCAATATTCTAATCGTACTTGATTTCTTGCCCATTTTTCGGCTACTGAAAATATTTAATTGTACGAAAATGGTAGAGTAAGATCGAATATCGAATTCAATGTCGTGAATTGCCCTTGTTAACTGAGTTACATCTTCACGGCATTACGCTAACTTAAGTCGCCTGATATTACGACTAGGTTTTCTCCACTCGCAAAGGCCAATTTTCGGTTTGACTCGATTATTGACAATCGCGACGCGGTGAAATGTTCCATCCGGGAATTTCGACTCGCTAGGAAGTTGTTGTTTTTTTTAAAGTTTTAGTATCACATAAGAGGCTTAATTTCATAGGACGCTCGTGGTTCGAAAGATTTTCAGTTCGTTTATAGTTTTTGCGATTATCGAATTTCTGCTCTTTTCTTCAAAGGCCTTTCTTTCAAAGCCTTTTTTTCTTTCTTCTTTCTTACCTCCGTAGTTTTCAGCAGGAACGTCCTACTTAAAATATTACAAGTAGCATACAATTAGTTTCGATGTGTTATCTCTATGTTAACAAAATCGTGTAAATGCAGACGAGAAGGATCGAGTGTACCATTTTCTTGACACTCGAGCCATTGGTCGCCACCTCCGAGACCTTGTACTGGAACTTCTCCCTAACCTCCTCGGTAATTACTGATTGCTCCTCTCCAGTTCGATTGCTGCGCCCCTTGACGATGAACTCCGAATATTCCGCACTGCCCTCGCCCACTCTCACGAACGTCGACATTGTTACTTCGTATAATTGATTCTGATTCTTGGACGATTTAATGGAGCGTCTTCTCCTGCCGTAGCCAATTTGGCCGTTGCTGCACTCGACCTGCGGGAAGAAGGAAAAACCGATTATTTTTTGCCGAAAGAACTCGTTAAACGGCTGGAAAACGACATCGAATATTGATGAGCGTTAAAAGGATATTAATGGCTTCTTACCCCGTCGCATTTGTCCAGACACACGTTAACGGTACCGCGGAACTGCACGTAGTTGCTGTCGGGAAATTTGAAAGCGCGGAATTTGGCTGTTAAGAAGTCCCCGTCGACCGTGTTGAAGTTTTCGAAGAGGTACGGATCCACCGAACAACTGTGAAGGGATAGAAAAAGAAAAGAGTTAAGAGACAACATTACACTGGGGAATAAATTGCATTGAACACTTGCCCATTGAAGATAATTGCCTCCTCTTGAGTGGCATTATCAATTTTGTCCCTGACTTGCATATGAGTCACTAAGAGGCCGTAGGTTGGCGCTGAATCAGGTTTGAGATAAATTTCCATTTGAAGAGGAGTTCCAGGACTGACACTCAGTTCGCCAGTCACTAATACGCCATTCTGTCTGACGCCGATTCCTAATTCGGGCGAAGGCGCTGATTGCGTTATGGAAGCTGCGTCAGTAATGTGTCTGAAAAAGCGAGTTATGATTTCATTTCATTTAACAGATTTACAAGCATCAAGAATTTTATGTTTCTATAACAGCAGTTCAACGGAATCCTTCAATAAATGGCAATTACTACCTACATCTTGTATTAAGTTGTACAATCATTTTCTTGTATGAAATCTTTTGTCACTGTGCCCTTTATATCGATAAATACTTTCGATAAATACTTGACTTGAATTCCATACATTTTTGCCTTTTTGTTCTTCAATTATTGCAAACTGTAATTATTAAATTACCTGAATTATAAAATTGTTCCATTTTTATCAACATGCTTTTCGAATTATTAAAAAATTAAGAGCTAATTGCTAATCATCTTTTTTGTTTCTCAGTGAAGAAAGAAGCTTTCTCAGTGCAAAATACTGTCATTTGTTTTTATGTTATGTTATTTACATTCATCTTTTCGGGAAATAAAACCATTAAACATGATTAAAAGATCCTTCAAATTCAAAATTTAATTTATTTTAAAATACGTATCAAATATCAGTGACTCAGTAGAAAAACTAATTCTCTATAAATAAACAGGAGTATCGAGAAAAAGGTTAAAAGTATTGAACGAAAAAGGAATGAAAATCATTGAGGAACAGAAAAACAAAACAAATAATAAAACGTTTCAAGTCGCAAGCTAGCAGTAAATTGATAAAATAAAAAGTAAGTGAATACAAGTAGAATGAATAAGAAAAAAGAAAAATGCGGATGGGGTTTTGCGAAAAAAGTGAAGCAAAAGCGAGCAAAAGTTGCAGTAAATCCGAATAAAACTGACACCAGAAGTGGACTACCGCCGGAAATGATTCGTTTATTATATTAGTTCTCGAGAAATAAATTATTGGAGGCCATGTTGTTAAATTTGTCTACCATAATCGTGAGAATATATAAGACAAAATAAATAGAAAAACAACAACTCCTAACCATAATTTTTTTGACGCAAAGCACTAAATAGAAACAAAAATTAATCGACTGTATTGCCTAATGGCGCGATACAAAATAATTCCTTTTAAAACTCGCCTCAGTTCAGTTATGCTCTTCATTTAACAATTTTCTTATTTTCTAGCTCACTAAATATGAATATTATAAGTATAAATATCATTTTTCATAGATCTGAAATTATACAATCTAATTTGGAGTTATTTGCTTTAAGAAAGTGAGTTGCTTTTAATGGTTATTAATATTTTTGATCAATTTGTCCTTTGATATTTTTTTTATGCAAGCTTATAGATTGCTTGGTAATGGAAAAAATATATCCAGATAGTACGTAATCTTTCTTCCTATGGGTGAGGCATTTCAAGTTTGCCGCAATATTAGCAGCATTTTAATAATTTTTAGGAAAACACTAGAAACAGTGTAGAAAAATTTAAAAAACTGCTTTTTTCGAAAGTGATCTATTTATGAGTAATCAGGAATTGTACTAATGTTTGAGGATAGAGCAAACAGATCGAATTCGATGAGTGGTGAAAGGTGTTCTGGCTGATGAACTTCATTTACACTGCAACATGTTGTTTCGCCAAGTTCTTTGCAAAGTTTCAGTGATACAGGAAACTGTAGTAGATAATGAAATTCAGTTAATGCTATTTATATATCAATCAAGACATGTTGTTCAATTCATTAATCAGTCATTCGCTTTAGAGTAGAAGCGTCGCAATCACTTGTGAAAAAACGATAATGTCTCTACATTGAATAGATGGCCGAGTTGAGCGGCGTTGTCTTTGATCAAACTGGTGGTCTTGCCTCGATCGCTATTCCAATCTGCCCTATCGTATTTACCTGTGTCTCGGGACATTTTTTCCCCAATCGCAATAGAAGAAGAATTGGAAATGATTCCGAGCAGAACAGAGGAATTAAATTATGTCGATGGCAAGAGCCTGCACGACCACAGTCTCGTCATTATTTAGGGATCGAGCTGCAATTTCGATTGATCCCAATCATTCCATCCGTGGGGTTTCAGTTTACAAGGATTCCTCTCGAAACCGGTAAGTCATTAGGTTAATTAAATTAGCTCCGTCCGACTGGTTTTTCCACTAATCATAATATTGTAACTGTTTCGCTGTCGAGAGCACATGAGCACATGGGTGCCTGGCAAAAACAAAAGTATGTATTCGGAAGAAGAAATTGTCTACGAATCGTTGCTTTGGAGTGTCCGTCAATTTCGAACCGGTTTCACGTCACGTCCGACAATTTACATTACACGCCATGGAACCCCAGCTGCGCTTGGGAGAAGTCACGATTAAACCAGAATATTTTAACGAATCCCTAGGCCATACGCGTCTGGCGAGAGCGGCAAAAGATTACTTTGTAACTAATGGCGTAACTAGAGGATGCACTTAGGGACCGAGTAACTTACGCATGCTTAGTCTCAAGCTCCTAACTCTTCGCGCCGCATATCGCAATTTCAGTTACGACAAGTTGCGTTCCGCAGATAAGGAGCATTAGTTCTGGAATCGCATGCTCCTGACACCGTACACACTTTAGATTCATAACCAGCACACGTTGAATAATTAGTCGTCTCTTTAAAAATCGAGACTGAATGGGAAGTGATTTGTGAAGGACGTTACGAATAAAAGCAGGAAGAGAAAGCATGATAAACCATTTTCCATAGTGTTCGTAAATTGATAACATTAATAAGAGTGGGATATATTAATTAAAAATACTTTTTTCAAACAGGAATTAAAATGGTAATTGAGTGTATATTATTTGTAGAATGTTCTATACACAGGTAGTGATAATTCACGCCCAGAATGAAGACAAGAATACCAGATAAGGATTAAATCTTATCATGACGATTTCAAGTTTAATTTATTATCGATTCTTCGACCGGTTAATTTGAAGCTGCAGGTACCGGTTTTTAAAAAATTGCCCACATTTGATTCGCGACCTATTTTTTCAGCGATTCATTAATAAAACACTAGAATCCACTCTATTTTTATTTTTCGCAGCTGGTTTTTCTCGGTCGAGTGAAGGCTGTTCATCAGGACAAACTAGAGTTGTGCCTCCTGCAATAGTTTATTTTATTAGTCCCTTACTGTTTATATCATCAACCATAATCTTCTGAGCGTCCATTAATGCAAAATGATACCTTCGTGATGATTCTCATTTTGAGATTATTGTGGAAGAGCTGCGGTTCTACAAGTTTTTTCCCTCGAATAAGAAAAGTGTCCGGGTCAGAGATCAGAAGTTATGCGAATTCGACCATTAATTGGACGATCAGATCGAACTCTTCAATCATATTAAATGGATCGTAAATATTCCTTAAACGAAATTGTAATTCTAGTTTAAAATAGTAGGATTAATTAAAATCGATCAATTTCTAATTAAACTCTTGGAATGGAAGTTTAGTCGAGCGTTGCAAAATCGAACAAACAAATCGTATCTCACTGCTCGTGATATTACCAGCTAGGAATTATAAACGTCGGTGATATATCTATTCAATTAATTAATGAAATGCATGTAGTTATTGCCGCTGCTACTGCTGCATCCGCAGTTGGGCTCCAGTGTGTAGCTCTCGTGTGGACTCTTTGTCTTTTCTTTTTCTCTCGAAAACGCGGCGCTCGTTAAAGCGCGTTCTCGTGCGTAACGACCTTCCCCATGGGTATAGTAAAAGAAACCACCTTTATGGAGATGGCGAGTCGTATAATGCCGCCTAGTAGAAACCCACGGTGTCGCTGTCCTATAAGAGCTTTAAGTGAATTCCAATTTTTACCACGCAATGACAGTGAATCGTCTAAGCCGTCGCTGAGTGGTTCTCAACGCTGTGGGTTGAGAATTTTCGTTTTCGGAAAATCGGAGGGAATCACAAAAGTTGAGGACCGCTATTTGCGTGGGTTTCACTTATCAAAACCAATTTAGAATCGTTAGAATCATTTTTAGTGCAGAAGAGTCACGGAACCATTTAATTATTTCCATCGCAATTAGTTTACTTTGTGCCTTCTTCGATCTTCAAATGCATCCTTTGATGCCATTCATTGTTTCTAGTGCATGCTTTCGTCTCATTTCCGGGTAATACGATTATAGTGCTCGTAACCATAAACCTTCTAGACGCAGAATTATTTACCAGACTTGTGATACATAAATTCCACTACAAGGTCTATAAATTAAATCCCGATTTCAAGTTTGAGTCATTTTCTTCCAACTTGATTATATTTTTACGGTTTTTCCAAAGTTCAACTAAAACCTTTTAACAGAAAAGGAACATTTAATGGAGTCCTGAATCCATAAAAGATCTTGGTACCAGTTATCAGCCCCCACTTAATTTTGATAATTAATGCTGCGTAGGATATTGTAAAGGATCCCTGGAGGATCCTTGAAGGTTGAGAGGAAAGGTAGAGGAACATTATTCCTTAAGGATTAAGGCATTCCAAACCCGACAAAGTTCGGAATTAAAATTCATACATCAATTTATTTGAAAGGCTTAAAAAGCAAAAGCTTTTTAAGCCTCCCAAATAAATTGATGTGTTAATTTTAATAGTTTGAGAAAGAATAACATTCTCAATGATTAAGGCACAGTTTAAAAAACGTGAAATGGAACTCGAAACACGTATTATTGTTTATACGTATATAAAAACGAGAAAGACCGAGAATTAATTTGTAAACCTAATATATCCTCTCAATTGCAAATAGTGAGATGTAAAAAGAAAATAATTTCAAGCAAGAAGCTGTTGATAGATGGAAGATACTAGTAGTGCCATCAATCAAGTGCTCTCAAGGGGACATGGATTATCTCGCATCGATGGGTTTCCCTCTGGAGAAATAAACAATTGAATAGATAAGCCGATGCAACTACAACAACAGATACAAATTCGAGATACAATACACTACGACGGCATCACTTCCTTTTCAGAAGCTCAACATAAAACTCGTGTTTGCTGAAGAAGGAAGCAAATATGTTTATTTTAAAGTAATGATTGACTGATAGTTAAATTCACTTACTCCTCCTCTTGGAATCCCGCTGGGAGAACGTTCCTCCGCACGACGCTGTGATTCGATGGGATGAATGTGTAATTTCCGAAATTGATGCCAGGTTGAACGGCCACTTCAGTGATGACGCACTTCACCGTCAGTGTATGCTTGCTGGAATCTGAGGGTTCCTCCACGACGATTTGGTGGTAGTACACCTTCTGACCCTGTAGAAGATTGGAAAAGATTATGATTACTTTGTTAAATTTCAAAGTCTGAATCGGTACTGGTTTTTAATATTTATTTTGAAATATTGGTACGAAAGTGGCAGTAATTGCTGGCACTAAACATTTCCTTCCTGTGCAGAAAACAGTAATCATGATTGGATGGCAAGATTGTTTCACAGGGAATTACACTTCTTGATTACTTTATTCCGAAAACGGAATGCAAGATAGTTGCATCAATCGTGTTTTTCTTACCGTCAGTTTATTGAGGACACGGGTCATACCACAGCGGGAAAGGTCTCGGTCCAGAATGGATAATCTAAACGTTGCTATTCCCTTCTTTATTTGAGGTTGGCATCCTTCATCTGGGAAAAGAATGGAAAAAATGCAAGTTCAAATTGTCTTTTTTCTCGGCGAAATTATTTGTATTTTATGTGCATGTCAAAGGAGCAGAAATGTTCTCGTATGCCGACCAGGTGCGCTCATTAGCTGTGAAATTACGGCAAAAACGTACAATTGGCTGGAGTCTTTATTTTTGTAGAAAATTCATGTTCGATGTTTGTTCTCATTGTGAGATTAAGGACAACATTTTTCTCCAGTGATACCGACTTCATGACACGGTAACCCAACTCAAGAGCATGGAAAGCAGGTGTCATTAAGAGACCAGAGGCTGACTGCCTTAGTTAGCATGACGATGCTTCCAGGATGCATCGTAATTATCACAATTACCGACAGTCGTAAAAAAACTTATTAATAGCTTCAAGCGCTCAACAGACATTAAACATCTCGTAAAATTCATCTAAATTTTGTTGTTTTCGATTAATTCCGATTCAGGGTGGTCTGTACCTCAGAGGAATTTTTAGGTAAGATGGAATTTTTTTAATAATTACATAATTGTTTATACATCAAGATTTTTATGTTTTTATAAAAGTTTCCTATTGAAACGTAAATTTAATTTGCCTCCGAGGCTGATTGCTTCATTCCGTAATTAATTGTACAACTGTGTGATAAATTTAAATTAATAATAACAATTTGTTTACCTGGATAATTTTTCAAGTGATGAAGATATATCCTTGCTTGAGGACTAGTCCTGATAATATCCACTTCCATCAGTTCGTGTCGACATTTGACTTTACTCTTCACTGCAATCAAAATCATTAAGGGAATTAAAAACTTTGAGATTCCATTAGAATTACAATAATTACGCAAGATCCTGAAGGGGTTTCAGTTATTTTTTCTCTCTTTTGGCTGACACACGGTAAAAATTGCAATTGTTTAAATGATCATGATTTTTGGTCTGCAATAACCTTCGGCACTGAATTTTCAGTACAATGTAATTCTCAGTATATCTGGTGCAATGCACTAGAGAAACGTAATTATACCTTAGAGTATATATATGTCTACGCTTGGCAAACTCGTAAACGTTGCGACCTTGAAAGTTGTGCATACCGTGCAAAATACTGTTTCTTTTTACTCATCGGTATGATGAATACTTTCACTTGCGAATGGTATTGAAAGGATTCCCATCAATGTTAGTTTATAAACGTTTCACTGATCGTCATTCCGGTACCGACACTTTTGCAATTATTTTGTAAACAGGAGCAAAAAATTGACGCGGGGGTGACAAGAGATCAATGTTATTAGGAGGAGGTCATTCTCTTCAATTACTTAATGACCTGTTGAGAAGTAGCGACCAATTTGGCTAAACCTCCTTAGTAGTCCTAAAATTCCAATTTTAGGCTCATCGGTAATTAGTCTTCAATAGTCTGCTTTTTGGACAGGTCTCTGAAGATTATTTACCCAACTAAGGAGGTTTGATTTTTGTCAAAATTCATATCATCCTAAATTAATCCAACTCATGAAAGTTTAAGATTTATTAAAGATAAATATTTATGAAATTGAAATTGGACTATTTTGCATGCACATGCTTGTATCTCGTCCAATTAGTATACTCTCCACCAATAGGACTCCTTATCTGTATTGTGCTGCAATTTAGAGCAACTAAGCTATTCTCAAGCAGCGATGGTATTGTCGTTTTGTAGCCAAGCCCTTTAATAATAAAGGCTCGGAACTACAAGCAGAGCTACTTAAGAAGGCCGGGGAGATTGCACGAGACACGATCCCCATTGCATTAACGAGCGCGTGCGAAGGTGTTGCTCCCCACAGTATTGTTTCTGAGACAGCTGGACCCGAACTTGACATCCCATTGAATACAATATCGAATACTCTGCAAATCCACTGGACTATCATTGTCAACTGAATAATGAAAGTAATTTAATCCCTTTGTGAGGAAGCGACAAAGGGAAAAAATCGTAAAGCAGGCTTTGTCTTTAAGATATGGTTGCACATAAACCCGGTCTATGTTTACGATCGCGGGAACACTCATCACTTGCCTCCAGTTACTCACTCGGGACTTCAAGGAAGGGAAATTATTTTATAAAAGTCCGATCGTAACTTGAAGCTACAGAAAAGGGAAGTGCGTGTCTAGTGTCTAGTGTCTCTGTCTGTGTAAGTATTTATTGGTACATTTCGTTACTAATTTTGCATTTCTCGAGTTACTGAGAAATTCCCTCTGCTCGTGTGGATGTCACTTCGTCCCCATCAATAAGAAATAGGTGGAAGTAGTTTTGAGAGAAATTCAATATCTGAGGAGGAAAAATCGTGGTCGTGAATCTTATGTTTTATGCTCCGTGCGTCCTTCACTCCGAAGATGGCGAGGAGACTTCTCAGAGGAACAAGCCTCTCAAGACTGCTCAAGACGATGCTCGCTCTATAAGGCCTGCGATATGGCACTTATGATACCACCCGGCAATTCCCGGGTCCTTTGATACACTTTTCCCATAAGTCACAACCATAAATACCTGGCCAACCCTTTTCCTATTCATTAAGACTGCTGCTGCCGTAAATAACCGTCTAATGACTCGCGAGGTGTTGAAAAATAGAAAAGGGTAAACTAGTGGCCGGGAATGGTACCTCGAGAGCGTAATTCATGTGCCCTTATGGCGTTCATGTCTAGCTACGTAGAAGAGGGAACAATTTTATGCGCGACTCTAGCTACATAAATTCTACATACCGCCTCAGAAGATGGCGTGATAAATTATCCACCCACGGCACGGACGAACGGAAACTTTCGCAGTCTGTAAAAAATCACTGTCAACGATTCTTTCGACTTGAAAATAATCCGAGTAGTTTAGAGTGGCGGAATCGAACATCGTTATTAGTCTAATCACGCTTTAATTACAGTAAACTGCAAGCCTACTACTAGTAAGGGGATAACTGTACGGCGAATCTGAAGAGTATTCTAAGCAGAAAAATTATTGGAACATGGGATAAGCTGACACGTGACCTGCCAAATGGAGTAGAGAGTGTTGGCAACATAATCAATTACACGGCATGCAAACTCTATCATTAGTGACTGTGTAAACTCGCGTCTCCGAGATGCCAATGACGCCGTAAAGTGTACTTACATCGCCTGCACTATCTGCAACTGTACTGTTAAGGTTCAAGCGGCGGGTCGTGTCATGTCTCCGCAGTTGAGCTACCGTTCGCAAACTATAACAGTATCGAAAGTTCTTAATCGATGCAAGACAGGTCGCGTCTCAGATAAAAGAGAAACTATCGTAACGGGGACTCGGTTCCGACTGTTCGACTGTTCGCCATAACCAGCGACCGATTGCACGTCCTGGCAGCGGCAAATCACTGATGATCATCATCCACCGTCATTAGTGGCAACTCGACTCGAAAGAGGATGCTTCTGATTTTCATAAAAGTCCCGGCGACACTCGATAACACCGCTCTGCGCGTGAGAAAACCTCAAGGCGCTCGCACAGCTCTACTGCCTGCCTGCCTGCCTGCAGGTCGTCATGGTAACACATGAGAGTAAGAGAGTCAGAAAATTCAAATTAAATGTTTTTTCTCCCTTACTCTCATTGCGCCTGCCTGCGCAGGCAGGCAGGCAGTAGAGGTGAGAGAGTACCTTCATGCCCGTCATTCAATGAACGCAAGATTGGAATCTAACTTTCACAGGTCTTTTAATTATGCAGTCTAAAATTCAGAAAATTCGTTGTTTTTTTTAATTTATAATGTTTATTGTTAAAATTTTAAACTGTGGTCAAGTATGGCGAACCATGTCAAGAAAAAAAATAATTCCTTTTTATATTTTTAAACTATGGGCAAAGTATGGCGAACTTTGAGAAAGGAAACGATAGTTTGCTATGGTCCATAATTCCCATAGTATCCATAGTTTAAAAATACTTTGCTCATAATTTGAAAATAAAATAAAAATTATTTTTTTATTTTTCCCATAGTTTGTCAGAGCCTTTCAACCTGTGGCATTTTGACCTAAATTTTAAGGTTATCTTAGTCTTTTAACCTATGGAAGTCGGCCTAAATGTTCAGGTTGTTTTCTTCTATTGACCTGTGATTTCTGACCTACATCTAAAGATTATGTTTGCTTTTACAGAATTGTAATCTTATGTGCTGTCCTGAATATACTGTTCTTGAAGTAAGTAGTATATTCTACATCCGAATATAATTTAAAAGACGATAAATCAAGATTCGCGTAGAGAATTGCCGCAGAGTAAAAAAACGCGAGTATTCTCAAAATAGCGACTGTTTATAGATAAAATCGAATAACTCGAGTAAATCTTAACCGAATTTGCTTAACTTTTTTTATTGGATAAAAAATGATAAAAGATAAAGAATTCTGGTTAAGTTTATTAAATATTTTTGATATTTTTTATTGAATTTAAACAGAAAACTGTAAAAATAGCGACTTTTTGACATTTAGACAAACGTTGAGCCTAAACACCTAATCGGATTTGTAAAATACTCTGGAATATAATTAATTGGGTTAAAATCTCGATTTATATTTAAGGAAACTTTAATACATTTCGCCAAGATTTTAAAATTGTCTTAAATTTTTTATTAAGACGAATAATTAGATTTCATTTTTTGCTTACGTTAATCATGAAATTAAATTAAATTTTTGTTACAATTCATATTATAACGTGAAACATTGACTCAATTCGGAAATGTATTAATAATATTAATGAAATGAATGATTATTAAGACTAGTTATAAATTTTACTTGGTAAACATTTATTTAACTAATTGTTTGGACAATTACAAAAACTTTTACTTGGCGGAAGTTTTTGCATCAAAGATGTTTTTGTTGTAATTTAATAATATATTGAAACAAAATACTAATTAATAATATTGAATTAGAAAAAAGTAAATATTTTTTAGTTTAGACTTGATGTTACGGTTTCTGGATGTTACAGACTTTGAATCCACTTCAAGATGTTTATTCAATTTATTCACATGATAAATTTTAAGATTTTAGTTTAATTTCGATCATCTGTTTACATTTTGCTACGGCTAATTGACCATTGGGATTTTAAACCAATGAAACAAGTCTTTATAATGCCTGACCGTTTAACAAAAAAATCTGTTTTGAATGTTAACGAAATAGTGAAAAAATGTGCGTATGCCTTCATTAAATGGAATTACCCACAATATGGAGATTTTACGGCTGTAAATAAAGCAAAAGTTTGAAGTGAATCAGGTTCTAATGATAAGCAACAATTCCAGGAGAACCGAGAGGAGAACTCGTTCATTCTGCTCGCGATAGGTTTTCTTTACGCATGACAAAGCTTGGGAGACGAGATTAAGCATATAATTTCGAAATGAGAATCAAGGAAGTCATAACAGACGTGTTTGGAGCATCATAATCGGTGACCTCATAACGGCACCCAAGCATCGATTACGTGCAGAATTCCTTAAACATGCGGTTTTGTAATTAGTAGCATTTCAGGGAAACGATTCAGACATTGCCTGACTCCTGGAGCGAATCCCATGGGCAGTAATTGGTATAAAGGTAAAGTCCGATGAAAGTCGTTAAATGAAGACAAGACGAGGAGAGAGTTCGTAAAATGATCCAACGTTTTCTTCAGGTGCTGCTGCCGATCATTTCTTGCGAATGGCCAACTCGAATGGATGTTATTCCGCCTAATGATGTTTTATTGGAATTATGCTCTCGCATTACACTTGATATGCAATCTCAACGCTTCTTAATTTCTGCCGCGGACGTAACTGTTTGCGGAATTTATTCTCCACTTACGGCGAAGAGACTCGATTCGGC